TTTAGCAATTGGCATTCACGAGCGTGAGTCTCCGTATCTCGCTTACAGGCAGAAGTTTCTGCGTTCCCCGGTATCGTTTTAGCTGGACGGCTCAGTGATCTCCCATAGTTAAGTACGAAGTACTCGAAATCGTTAAACATTTCTTCTAAACACAGGTTTAGCGATGGTTGCGCCGCAGTGCCATGAACTAGCGGCAGTGAAAGGTGGGAACTACACACGAAGCGCAGGCCGTGAGAGAGTGCCAGCATGCCGTTCCTCTAGTCTGGCCGTGCCGCCTTTTGTTTAGTCCTTGGAATGTCCGCTGGATGGCGGTACTTCTATAAGATGAACATATGATGAGAAGATGCGAGATGGCGGTACTTGGAGTGTTGACTAGATATACGGACGGACGCATGGATGAACTGACGCACGGATGGACACACAGATGGACGCGCGAACGAATGCACGGACGGACGGTTGCACAGTCGGACAGACCGGTCTGCGGACGCATTGACGGTTGCTTTGCCCCACTCATCCTCATGCACTCCGTGGATATGCTGCGATTGCTAATCTTAGCTTTTCTTTAAGAATCCCCAGATGTAGGGATAAATCCCTAATGTGTGTTTAGAAAGGGTGGTTCACGATTAGGAGTGCTTGGTACTTCACTATGGGAGAGCATATAGCCATCCCGTGGGCCTCATTCGTGTACTTGGTGAAGGACTATCGTTTGTGTTTTGAAAAAATTCATTTCGACATAGAACGTGTGTTTAGAAAAAGTGGGGAACGATTTAGAGTACTAGGTACTCTACTATGGGAGAGCTTACAGCCGTCCCGTGGGCCTCATTTGTGTACTTGGTGAGGGCCTATCGTTTGTGTTTTGAAAAAATTTATTTCGACATAGTACGTGTGTTTAGAAAAAGTGGGGAACGATTTAGAGTACAAGGTACTCTACTATGGGAGAGCTTACAACCGTCTCTTCATGGTCCTAGCCGTTTGCGTTTTGAAAAAATTCATTTCGACATAGTACATGTGTTTAGAAAACGTGGGGAACGATTTAGAGTACTAGGTACTCTACTATGGGAGAGCTTACAACCGTCGCTTCGCGGTCCTAGCCAAAAGGCCGAGAAGCGATAAAAAACATGTTCACATGCCGGTTTAATTGAGAAAAAGTGGGGAACGATTTAGAGGTTGTAAGCTCTTCCATAGGTACTCTACTATGGGAGAGCTTACAACTGTCCCTTCATGGTCCTAGCCAAAAGGCCGAGAAGCGATAAAAAACATGTTCACATGCTGGTTTAATTGTTGCGGGCCCCCCTGCTGATCAGATAGCTACCAAGCCCACGGCAACCGACCACAATACACGCTCTGGGACGATAGAAAGCTTACATCGATTTTCGTCTAAGCTTTTTAGTCAAAAGAGCCAGTGACTCAGCGATGTTAGGAACAAGCATCAACCCCTTTGATCTTTTAAACTATCACTAAAAATAACACTCGACTTTTTTCATTACGTCGCACGTTGAAGATATGCAGCGTCCAGAAAATTTGCAGTTCTCAACATCGACCGCTCAAGCCAGTTGGCCACTATGAAGGAGAATTTAAAAAAAAAACAATCACAGCATATCCACGGAGTGAATCATGATGAGCGGTGCGAAGCGTCCTTCTGTCTGTCTGTCTGTCTGTCTGTCCGCTTCTATCTCACAGAACACGTATCAGAAGAACGGACGCACGTTTCGCCCCACTCATCATCAATCGCTCTGTGGATATGCTGTGTTTTTTTTTCTTCTCTATAGGGTGCACGAACTCCCCTCCACGCTCGCAAATAATTTCTGCATCTGAAGTGGTTTTGCACCGCCTGAAGGGTTCGCAGCGTTGCAAGCTTTCCGCACCTCGCGTTATCTTTCAGCCGCGATCGACCTCCTTTCAGCAAGCGGCACTCTCATGTGATGGCGTCATCATATTGCCACGGGCGTGGAACGACATTGAGCCATGCCAATGCGTGTATGTGCCATTGTGACAACGAAGAAGACTGGTTGATGTGCTCATAGTTTGTGTGCACCATATATCAACCATATATGACTCCATTGTGGCGTCATTGTGACATCACATTGAGTCATCACATTCAGAAATCCATTGAGTCATAAATCACCACGCATTCCGTGGTGATTTATATATATCCTTTCCGCTCGGCGCGTACGCGACGTGCTTAGGGTACGCGGCCCTAATACTGCCCACTATAGAAGGACGTCATCGTATTCACGTTGTCTTTACAAACGCAACTCAATTTGTAAAAAGCGCATGCTTCAGCGACACTATGTGCAACAACTGATTACCTATTACATTGGCGACAACTGATTACCTATTACATTGGCATACTGCATATCTATACCTAAATTCTCTTCTACTTGAGTAAATCGGGAGTTCGTTACTGTGATGTTGATTCAAATGAGAATACCAAGGAACACTGTTCTTTCTTTTACGCGTATTCTTGGTTTGTGCTTGCGATTTCTACAGTGAAAGGATCAGCGAGAAGACACAGTTCGATAATAAAAGACACCAAGCTTTCTCTTAACCATCTGCGGGCTCTCCTCGAAGGGCCCGTGTATTATGCCACCCTTGTGCCCACCTGGTTAAATATTGGTACTGTTTGTAGTGTTGCACTATCACTATTGTCATTATGACCAGTACAGCCCTATTGAGGGTGCTGGGTTTAGCCGTACTCTCGCTCTAACGTGGAGCAGTCTTGCAGTGTTATAAGTAAACTGGAGAACAATCTTCAGGCGCAATTCCACCATACGGCCCACCTAAAAAACACCACAAGTATCACCATAGATATCGATATAAAAGCACCACAAATATGAGAGTGCAAAAGGGCAAAAATAGCATGTCACAGTTTGAAAAGCGAAGCGTAGTCTTATAGCAAAGGTAACACGAACTTCTTTTAACACGTAAAGCAAGCAGCCACCGTCACGTAAACAAATTTTGTGGCACCCTTTTTTTTAGCATTCAAAAGAGGTAATAATACCCATGCGAGGAACTGGTCGTCGGAATTCTCTTAAGCCGAACTAGTTTGTCGAAGAGGCGCATTCAGCGAACATACTTTGCAAGATTTCTTCGCGAATAAAACAAGCGAACAGCCACCGCTAGCGAAATCATTACCGAAGTGAAATAGCCGTCTGCGCGTCATCAACCGGTTCACAAGAGACTAGGAAGTTTTAGAATACCGTTTGCAAGTGCTGCGGGCGTTACGGGCGTCCATACGAGATTTAGAATAGCATTTGCCCTGCTGCGAACCGCAACGCACGATCGCTGCGGCACCGTAGCCTCGAAACCAGCGCTTGCGGGCCACATGCGGGCCGCCATTACCGCACACCATTTCACATTTTTTCGCGTGCGGTCCGCGAACGCGAACGCCGACTCGCGTTACGACGCATGCGCAGTGGCAGTGACCGCACCACAAGGGCTCGCGGTGCGCTATTCTAAAACTCCCTACTATCCAAAAGTAGCTTCACAAGCATACAACATTACTGCAAAATGCGCAGTGCCAAACGAAAAACCACTGCAAAGAAACAGAAAACTTTTGGGGCGTCCTGTAGCTGCTTTGATAAGGATAGCACTTGTTTCTTTGTACCGAACAAAACGCGTGCTTACCTTTCTTTCGTCCGCTGGGAAGCGGAAAAATTTCGATGAGCCGTTTCGTTCCAGAGTTGTGACACCACGAAGCAGCGCAGCATGCTTTGTGTCCTCCTTATAGGTCCGTCAACATTTTCAGCGTGTTCTAACTCACAAACACCGGATGTTTTACCTTCAAGGCATTCTAAAAATTTTCACACGTACTCAGTGAAAACAAACAGCAGGAGCAGACGAACTGCATGGCAGTCGAAGAGATAAGGCAAAAGCGCCACCCGTAGAGGCAACGAGTACAGCGTCTGGATAAAGTTATAGTGTGTTAAAAAAAGATAATAGCAGAGGAAACATCTTACTTCTACCCATTATTGCATAACTTTGCTTTATTCGTGCTCAGGGTGGAAAGATAGGTTCACACATGCAAAAGTTGTTGAATTTTCACTCGCACCAAAACAATGGCGGACAGTTTATTTCCAATACCGAAACTAGTCTAAGTGACGGGCGCCTGGTATCACCACAAGGGGGAAGCAGTGATTGTGACAGCAATATTCTGGAATATATGTTTCAGCAGCCAGCACCTTTGGCACCAGACCAGGCGTAGCTCAGCGAAACACTGGCCTAATGAAACGCAGCGGCCGCAACTGTCTTTCGCTGTCACGCGAACAACGGTGCGATAACAGCGCATACGAAACCGTGAGCTGTCGGCGCAGCCTTATCAGTGTAAGACGATCACGCGAATAACTGATGTTCTCTCTATCAGTGTCGGCGATTAGCCGTTTCTGATATGGCAATCTGACCACCGAGGGAACTTGAAATCTCCTATTGCCGCATTACATTGTTGCCTTAATAAACGCGCGAGTGTCGTTGGTGCCTGCAGAAGCTTGAGTGTTGCCCTGCTAGGGACTCGGGTGAAAGTTTAATTCCAAGCATGGTAAAGCAACATTAAGAATGATGATGATGATTTGTGGGGTTTAACGTCCCAAAACCACTATATGATTATGAGAGACGCCTTAGTGGAGGGCTCCGGAAATTTTGACCACCTGGGGTTCTTTAACGTGCGCCCAAATCTGAGCACACGAACATTAAGAAGAAAAGAACGAAACAAAGCAAAAAGAAAAGAGAGAACGATAAGGCAAGAAATATAAAAAGAAGGAGAAATAACGAAACAAAGAAGACAGACACACATGCAGACAGACAGACAGACAGACAGACAGACAGACAGACAGACAGACAGGCAGGCAGGCAAATTCGTTTACGTAAAGCACCCATTGCCTCCCTAATTTACGCCATAGGGAAAGGTCTGAATGTCCCTCAATACTTGCACACTTTGACCGCGGCAGTAACAATAATAGAGACAGCGTGATGACCTTACGTGTACATACCACAGGGCGGCCAAGCTCTTCGAAGAAGGCGACGTCGTCCTCGCATGGAACCCAGTGCCGCACATATCGGGGTTCGTTTTCTGCATGGCTGCTTTCATCTGCGGTGCCACGGTGGTGCCCTCGCAGAGTGGATTGTCTCCCAAAGAATTCGTTGACATCATCAACACACATAAGGTAATGGAGCGGAGTAAAACGTGTTGCTGTGTGACTTGTTCCTTACGTGACAGGTAAATTGGCTTGCGCAAAATTCACGCAAGGATACACTGCCATACTATTTTTTTATTGTGCCCTTCTGTACATTTCCGCATACTGATTTACTTTTTAAATAAGGTAGTACTTTAGTATTACATTATTTTGCACTTTTGGAAACTCTGATTGTGCAAACTATAACGAAGAAAACATAAAAGCCCCATAACAACTGATTTCAACCTCAATTCGTTGCCTACATCCAACTGAGTGCGCAACCACTTTAAGCCCAGGGTCTCATGTCGACGTTTGGCATTGTGCTAGCTGAACTCTGTATAGCGTGCCTGTGTATAAAATAGCCACATGTAGCGCTAGTACTACAAGGGGTTGAGAAAAGCAAGATGCTGATGGGTGGGAACAACGTGAGGAAGAGGAAGGGAAATAGAAGGCACAGGGTAGAACATAGCACAGACATATGCTGGCGTCATACAAGCTTGCCGTGTATGAAATGGCCATTTATAACATGGTATATAGTATGTGGTGCACACAAAGGAAAGTTAGGTTGAAGAGGAGTGAAAGGGTGAAAGAGACTACAGCCCCGTATGGTGTCATGCAAGCGGAACCATGCATACCCCAGCCATACATGGCATAAACATGTATAATAAGTACAACGAGGGTGCGGGAAAGAGGATTGAGAGTGAGCAGAATGAAAATGAGGCAGACAGAATGTAGTGTATAGCGTAGCCAGCATAGTATGCCATAGGCACGCGTAGTGTGGCATAGGAAGGGGTGCAAAAGTGAGGGTGAGGGGGTAATAAGGAATAAGAGAAATAAGGCAGAACATAGCGTGACTGTGCATAGTATGCATAGCTAGGGGTGCGAAAGGAAAGTCAGCGTTAGGAGAAAATGAAGTAGCAGCGGTAAAGGATCGAGCAAGGAAAAATAGAAGTGAGAGGAGGAGAAAAGGAGGTGAGAAGAGAGCGCCACTGCAACACAAGTGAAGGTTTCTTTACGGCACCACGGACGACGAGTATAGGCTGCACGTTTGGAACGCTAGCGCACGTTTGCCTGTGAACGCGAACGTCATTGAAGGACAGGTGAATTACTGCTCTGCACTTGCCACTTTTGGTGCAGATGTAATGGAATTGAAAAAGACTTTATTGTGTCATGCGGAACGCTACTCGGCCGCGCATCCGGCCCAGTCCAACGTAGGGAGACCTCGCGGGCCCATTGCACAGCCATGAGCTGATCATTGGGAAAGGGGCTGCGTAGAAGCGTCTCCCACTTATCCGAGGAAGTGGAAAAAGGAATAGAGGAAGAGAGTAGGTAAAATGTGAGCGTGAGGAGGGGTAAAAAAAGAAGCATAAAAGGGATAGATGAAGAGGAAATCAAAGAAAGAGAGAGAAATTTCTATAAACATAAAGAGATATATGAAGCAGGAATTAGGCCAACATATTGTTCTTTATAGCAACTCAGTCAACCGCTCCATATTTACAGGTTACAAGCCTCTGTGCATTTCCTACTGCATTTAGGCAGCTGGTCTTTCAACTGAAGGAAGGCCTGGTGCCATCGTTGAAACGAATCGTTATGTGCGGCACAAATTCTACCAAAGACCTGTACCAAAGAACACTGAAGGTGAGTTTATGCAAAGCTGAGTTACTTGATTTGAGTATGTGGAGTTACTAGTGTAGGTTGTTGAAATGCGTTTGTGTATGCGTGTAGGGAACAGCGCAGATGCCGTCGAGGTCGAATACAGGCCCATGGTAGACAAGTACAGTACTAACATTGAACGAAATGTTTATTATTGCGATAGGAATTGTATGGATTCTTTCGGCTAGTTCTCGACGTTGGAATGCATCTACACGTCACAACTTAAAATATTTAATTTTTTTCTTGAAGCGTGTGACAGAAGTTTCAAACCGGCGACACCTCGCTCCACAGCACTCGGAATTTACGACTCTGCCACGGAGCATGCTTAGTTTAGCATATTAGCCATTTTTATGCGCAATTTGATGCTGGTGGTGCGCAGAGCTCGCAGGATCCTCAGCGTGTTCTTTTAGGTGCAAAGCTCCATGGGGTCGAGCCATGTTCCCTGCCCATCGGCGTGACACGTCATAAACATCCATATCTAAATGGATATTCATATAGAGATCCATATGGATGTAAATATTCATATCAATATTGACATGGGTGCTTATACATATATCCATATGGATACCTTATGGACATGCATATGGGTATCTCAACAATATATGCGCAATGTGAATAATAAAGAACTTTGTAAATACTGACACACGTGTTGTCACGAATTCACATGATCGAATGGGCAATGTGCGGGGATTCATGATACCCGAGGGCTTCGCCCACTCATCATCATTCACTTCGTCGATATGCTGTGACTTTTTATATCCAGAGAAATGGCGCGAAGGAATGAGCCTTGAAGGCCATCACACCGCTTGTTGCGATGACCACGCAACGCCTGCCTGTGCCACCTGTACTTTGCCGAGCAGGGCTTGGTCCCACATGCGGCCGGTTAGCTCGTGACGGGGTGGTTTGTACGTCTTGTGGTTCACCGCAAAGTTTCCGTTCGGGTTAGAGAGCAAGAAGGTCCCTTCACTCGCAACAGATGCCGTGTTTGCGAAAGGAGTGAGCTGCTAGATGGAATAGCCAAAGTAGTGGCAGCTGGTTGTGCACAGTCAACAACGACAACTCGTTGCTCAAATTCAAAGTGACACCTGCGACATTTGTCACTTCGTCCTCGTTTTGTGTGTACCTGTGCATTCGTTGCGCGCTTGTTTTTTTTTTTTTAAATCCGAGCCGTGCTCCAACTGTCCAGCTGTGACAGTTAATTCGCGATCGTCATGTCCATGTTCTCTTCGTGCGTCCTTTGTGCTACGCGCGTCCTGCAGGACTGAAATAAAGTTTTTTTTTCATTCATTTATTTATTCCTTTGTGCTCTTGAACGACGTGCTGCAATTGTCAAGCTCGTTGCCGTTCTTCGCGTGGCATTGCGATTCGCTGCAATCGCATTCGTTGCTACAGACTTGCGGTGAAACTGACTTTTCCACACAAAATACTGATAGCCTGAAAACTGAGTGCTAACTAAACCGAATGGTGCACGTGATAAGGATGTGGCCTTGATGATTTCTCGCGTATGAGTTAGCTTTCATCGAAATAAGATTTTTCTATTGATCGAATATAAGTACTTATATTAACCGAGAAAACATACTTAATTATTCTCTCAGCGGAATCCAGATACAGCAAGACACACAGGAGAAAGGTGGCCACGCCGTGGTTCTGTTAACGCAGCTGGTACGTTTTAATGCGAAAACCTGCATGCTATATATTCTCATTAGCGTGACCTCCCTCTCCCTTTTCTTTGCGTTGGAAGAGAGGGCGAAAAGTCAGTCCCACACATTGTTTTACCAACTTGCCCAGCCAGCCGTTCTGACCCACACATTAATATTACAGGGAGGGGGTGGCGTGCAAAGTCTGCTCCGTGCAATCGCGTAATAAGAAGAGAGGCGCTGCGACAAACCTTCTAACCTCCCTGGAGTTGAAGTCTGCGCACGCTTATGCTCTTACTCACGGTGTACGACGTCCATCCGTGCCCTGTATTGGTGTCAGCTGCGACCTTTTCCCTCGCACTTTCTCAGCAATCACATAATGGCCCAGTGGCTATAAAAAGGGGGTAAAAAAACTAAAAAAAATACCCCCGGCCTGTGCGGAACGCGCAGCACAGTCACACCAACATGGTGGTCACAGCGAACTGAATACGAAACTAATAAACTTAAATACCTCATACCTTCTTCTCTAAGTCAACATCCGCAAGTTCTAAATTATGTCAATAAAGCCACGTCAAAATATGTGTTGAAGCTTGTCGTTAAATCTTATTTCTTATCCTGTGTGCCCCCGTAATATGAGCAGGGCCTCAAGTGTTATGTGGTGTACGACATTTGTATTAAAAAAAAGTACATTTGTTTAAATTATTTTGTGTGTATCATGAACTGTTCTTGATAGCATTGTGTCATGTTTCATTTTGCCTTTCTCTTAGTGGTTCCGCTTTCTCTTTAATTGTATAATTTATATATGTTCGAAACCCTGTTGAGCAGTGCTTGGGTAGTAGGGCCATTGTCAGGCAGTCAATTTGCCTTTAGCTGTATCATCTCTTGACATGTAACATTTAGCGATGTAACATGTTGAAATCAAACATTATTATAGAAGAAACAGTGGCCTTTCTAGATCCTTTTTTTACATCATTCAGGTAACTGCTACAAGAACACTGAGGGAACTTCTAGACGTATAAAATAACCACAAGAAGAAAGACACACAAAGAAAGAGCATCAACTCGCAACTGAGTTGCGAGTTGATGCTCTTTCTCTGTGGGTCTTTCCTCTAGTGGTTTATTTAAGCGCCTAATGGAGGCGGAAATGTTGTAGGCCCGTGTGCTCAGATTTGGGTGCATGTTAAAGAACCCCAGGTGGTCTAAATTTCCGGAGCCCTCCACTACGGCGTCTCTCATAATCATATAGTGGTTTTGGGACGTTAAACCCCACATATCAATCAATCAATTATTTAAGCGCCTAGAAGTTCCCTCAGTATGACTAACGAACTAGCCCAGCAAGAAGTACTTCTAAGCTACAAGAACACTTGCAGGGTACACACTACACTACAAATCATCATAATTTTGGTCTTATAAAAGAATTTCATGATGATGATGATGCCTCATATATGAATGATACCCACTCAGAGGGGAAGCATTTACCATGCCTTCCTTTGTCATTCTTTGGGAAAGCGTGGTGCCCGCTGAATACGTATCTTGTACAATTTTTTCATGCTGTAACTGATGACAATGAAGAACTATGGCTCAGGCTTTGGTAATGGGTTGGAGCACTCGACTACCCACTGGTTACCCAATTTGCATTCTATGACACCTCGTTGTTCCTTTGCTGTTCTAAAATGCTTTATTACTCATATTAACGAGATTCCTTTCTAGACAAGAAGCCTGCTTAGGGTCATTTTTTTTTCAATACAGCAATACCTACAATGCAATGGAAACATAAAATGTGCATAATACAGAGGCAGGTCCCAAAGTAAAAACTGTCAGGGGACCTCCTGTTAGAAGAAGTATAATAACATAAAACAAAATTTACAACTAAAGAACTACATTTCAATATAACAAAGTAGCACATATGTAGATACTTTGAAACGAATTTCAAGCATTGGCATTTCTAAATGGTAGAATAGTGGGCAGGAACACAGGAAACCGGATTGCAAATCTCATTTGTGTTTTTTTTTTATTCAGTTAATTTTTCTCTCATTTCGTGCTACAGTGGTTACGGACACGAGCAGCTGCACTGGAACACTACAACGCAAGTGACCCTTGTTATGATCTCACAACAGCTTTCGCTGTAATAGGGCATAGGCACAGTTAGCTGAATGGCTACAAGCTTTTGCCAAACACACTTTTCAATTTACAAAGTGTCCTCCAAGTTTTTATTTAGGCTGTGAGTGAGTTATACAATGACCTTTTTCTTTATTCACAGCAATCTCACTTTTACATTGTGCGCAGGTGTTTCAGCTTGAGAGCCTCAGGAATGGCTACGGCATGTCTGAGGGCTTCGGGTTTCTTACCATGACGCCGACAAACACTATCGGATATCGCAGCGCAGGCGTCGCATTGCCATTGGTCGAGTACAAGGTAAAAATATTTATTGAGAAATGTCTATCGCACCACGATTATTCAGTTATCATGGACATTGTAGATAAATAGTCGGTGTACGGGATGTACTGCACATTATCGCCAGGGCAAATCAGTATTCAGGGTACTATCGTGTGTAACAAGAGCTGGAAAGCAGAATTCATATTTATTCAACAAGTACTTGAAATCTACTGATGCATATGTTACTTGATCACCAGAGGTAGCATTCTGCTTGAAGCTCTAGTGTACTCATTAATATTTTCGTGCTTGCCAACAGTGTTCAGGCTGTATAACCTATAATCGTGACATCACTATTCCAGCTCCCATTGCACAGTTTGAATAGTAAGTGTGCAACAATGGAACTTTTTTCATTTCTAACATATGGCGTTTCTATTGGGGTTTCCAACATATGGTTATTTCTAACATATGAGCCTGGATAGTAACAAACTTGAGAAACTGAGGACTGTCAAGCATGCTATGGAGACATGACTCTAATAGACAACAGGACAGCAAACTAGATTACAAAGCAGAGGTAACCTATTTTTTGATATACATTAGAGAGTTTTAGAATTGGCGGCCCAAGGACCCAGGAGACCGCCAGGACGTATGCGCATTTACGAGCCGCCGGGGCGCATGCGCAGTACCCAAGCCATTCTTGGGCTTTTGCGCTCGTGTTGTCCCAAGAACCGCAAATCGAGAACTAGCGTGGGTGCCCAAGGAGCCTTGGGTAGCCAGCGTGGCGACGCAGGGCGCAGCGCGAGAAAACACCAGGTACGCCCCACGTCTTGCATAATTTTCAGTTTCGCCCCGTGTAGCGTCCCATGCCTTTCACCCGATGCCGACTGCATTGGATTTACTGCGTGGTTTGGCCTATCTCTCAAACTTTGCAGCTGCTTGTTGCACCTTGAGGACCCAGTGGCTTGGGTTCATGATTCGAAAACTCGCTATTGGGAGGGTATAATGAAGAGAGGACAACGAAGAAGCACACGAGCAAGCCAGCAAGCCATGTCAGTAGTAGCACTGGTCGCGAACACGCACTTGCCTGGATTTTGGCTGCTTGACACTCAATCCATGATGTTGCTGGGCTTTCCTGAAGTCTGCAGCGTCAATAAACTATGTCGCAAGGAAAACAATCCACCTTGGCAGGTCGTGGCATGACAACAGGCAATAAATGCTCGGTGATAATGAGTATTGCAGTAAGTGAAGCATGGCCGTTCACAAGAAAGGGTTAGGTATGTGTATAACTAAGAACCAGGGACCCTCAAATAAAATCAACTTATGTACGATAGGTTGCACTGGAGATTATTACAACAGGCCTTCGTACCTCGAATGGACATAAGGTGGGAAGAGAACGTGCAGGCATACACAGCACAAGTACCAAATGTCACAGTTTTAAATGCCAAAGATTTTTTGTGTGCTGCAGGCCATCTTAACATCTCTTTACATATCTATTTCTACCTGGCCACTTCTGTGTGGGTCCTGTTAATTAACTTGGGGTGAACCTCAACTTAGAATATTTCATGTATTATCAAAATAGATAAAGAATCTTACCTTTCACTTCCCCATTTCTTATCTAAGAGAACTGACCAACCTCTAAAATTACGAGAAAGTTTTTGGAGAACAAACGTTTACCAATACTCCTTTTTCCCGCACCCAATCTCCCAGTAGAATCGGCTTCCGCGAGGATTGCAGACTGCCACACTGAAGAATCCTTAAGGGACATACTGCTACACTCATATATCTGCATTTTTGTTATGACCTATTTTTGTGTTCATCTCGTTTCTTTTGAATAGTTGTTTCTTTTATATAATCATATGTTATGATGTGCATTTCCCCCTCTGCAATAATTCCCTTGAGCACTGCAGGTATTTTTATTAAATAAACAAATAAACCGAAATTAGTGTTGGAGGGTAAGATATATTGACGAATATGGCTCACAGGTCATGACATGAAGAATGTGACAATCCCATCGTGTACATCGTCAAACTTTTTCCGGAAGACATGCGTGGTACATACTGCATACCATGGGCAGGTATGTGCCACAGGTGCTTCACGGTTTATATCTACTCAGCAAAGTCCAGAACAGCCGTTAGTCATTTTAATGCCAAGGCATTAAAAAAGGCTGAAAGTAGCAGCGTTCATACGAAAGATGCAAAGAACAAATGTGATGGTCCCAGCAGGAATCGAACCCCTGCATTCTGCGTGGCAATCGAGTACTCTACCCGAGAGCTATGCTGGGCCTCGGTACTGCTTTTCCAATAGATCGTAATGCACAATTGTGAAGCGTCAATTGTAGCAGTCCTGGCTATCGAATTTTATAAACATTACACAAATACTACTATAATACATCCATAGTGATTGGTTACGGTCAATTGTAGTTAAGCGTCATCCACTAAAGTTGATTTATGTAGCAGTGTTTAGGCAACCACCCTCGCGAGCCCAAGTGCTACGTATCAGCTTGCCATTTCTGGTGTTGCTGATACCCATGTAGCTCTTGGCATTGTTCCGCATGTATAAACTAGATATAAAGAATTGAGCCATCTCCCGCTAAAATGAGCATGTGTAGATGCGAATGAAGTAGCATGCGTTAATACTTACAGTGGGGAAAACGTTGACGCTGGCGCTCATCGAGCAAAAGCCAAGATGCCCTTCACTGAATTCTGAACGTGCGATCCAGTGCCTGCATATATGGGGTAGCCAGTGAACCATTGTGCAGCGCGAGTAGTCTTTTTTTAGGGGCGAAGCTCCATGGTCGTGGGTCGTGCGTCCCTTGTACGTAGTAGCCACCTCTCGTTTTAGTCCTTGGAATGTGCGCTGGATGGCAGTACTTGTATATGATGAAAATGTGATGAAAAGATGCGAGATGGCGGTGCTTGCAGTGTTCACTAGAAAGACGGACGGACGAACACACATAAGGCAGACAGACCAACGGATGGATATACAGACAGACAGATGAACAAACGGACAGATGGACGGACAGACGGACGGACACACGGCTGGACAGAAGTAAGAACTGAATAGACAGACAGAGGGACAAACAGACGGACGCTTCGCCCCACTTATCATAATTCACTCTGCGGATATGCTGCGATTTGTTTACTATAAGACACGGCCTGCGTCGGCCTTGCGAGGCGAGAGAGGGAGAGAGGAGTGACAGCTTTACGGGTGTTTTCCTGGGCCGGCACACGACGCGAGCATGAGCAGTCGTGGTGTACGAAGGGACAAAATTACACAGGCTTGTCAAAGAGCTTCAATGCCACTTTGACTTGGTTGGGTTCGTACATACTTGAATAGGCTTCAGCGCAATTGCGACGAAGACTAAGGAGACAGCAGAGAACACAGACGAGCGTTCGTCTGTGACTCCTTGGCCTTTGTCTAAATCGGCTGAAGCCCACTCGAGATTCTGAGAGCTGCTTCGCATCTAAATAATATGCGACTGTTTAACATACGCCAGTGCGTACTAGATTTGTACATATCTTGAACGTCATTTGGTAACGTTTCACTCTTTACAATGCGATCACGTTTCCTCCGCATGTTTCACATAACGTTAATTCTCAAGGTACGTGGGATTTGCCAAAATTTATATCTGTGTTTGAGCAACGTACTGCAGGTGTGGACAATGCAAAGCCAACGCTCTCGGACATTGCTTACTACCATGCGTAGTGTGTTTGCGTTTCCAACCACGCGATGGCGTCTCACCCTAGGTTTTTCCAGCATCTCCATTCCCCTTTTTTTCCCACCTCACGAGTGGATAAAGGGGCTCTGTTTTCATACTTGTCTGAAGGGCAGTTTTCAAGTTCTAATTAAAATGTAGGAGCATTACGTGGTACAGAATCATGCCATATCCACAGAATAAATGATGATAAGTGTGGGAAGCTGTAGGGGGGGGGGAGATCATCAGTCAGCTGTAACTCCCTGTGAAAAGTTAGCTCATCACATCATAAAGAGACGTAAGACTGTGCATATACTATACAAATCAACTTTTATTTTATTCTTGTTTATTTGTATCGTTTCTTCATTTATTATTTTCATTTCCTTGTTGTCGTGGCAGCTGGATTGCAAGGTCCCTTCATTATTATGGCTTTATGGTCCATGAAATGAAGTGAGAAGTTCTTGTACTGGCTGCAGTGAGAAGTTTGCAAACACTAAGTCTATGGACATCCCTCGGATCGTGGTGGGTTGCATATGAATACATCTGAGTGGGTATTTGGGAAGCATATGCTGCACAATGCGGTCATTGGCAGTGATACCTATCCGTCCGTGATCCATCTGTGGGTGCGTCTGTCTGTCCGTATGTTTGTCACTCACACTAGCGCCACCTGCTGAGTGAGTCATAAACTAAGTGGTTGCGAACCGGTCACAAAAGTCGTGCATGGACAGACCCACGGCTCTAGGAGCTTCGCCGCTAAAATATGTTTGAGCTTCTCCGCAATGGGCATACCGCCAATGGCAAATGGTGTACATAAATAGCTCGCTGTTCTTAAGCTGAAACATAAGTGGTGCAGGGTTCAGTTTTCTAATGCAGCATGCTGCGGAGGTAGTGGTCCCGGGTTTGAATCTCCGGTCATGTGCTTAAAAAATTTCTTCTTATTCTTTTGTCTTCATATATATGTATAGATACTGCGGGCAATGGTTGTGTACTGCTTCCTCACCTGCGAATTATTATAATCATCATCATCCTGTTGTCTCTCGGTTTTATTGTCACCGTGTGTCATTATCATCATCATCATCGAGTGTGCGCGTGCTCTGCCCGTTCGCTTCTAACGCCTTGAATCTAATTAACACCATTTAAACCAAGACGTCATAATAGATATACATATCCAGGACATGACGGCGACGGCAAAATCCGCCAAGATGGTTCATATAGTTACACAATGAAAGGACAGTGTTCACACAAAATCACAGGTTTAGGAAGTGTGAATGCGGCTCTCAGACCCCTAAGTTCTGGATTAGGGTCACTCTACCTTTTCAGCCACCGATATTGTCTTTTGCCAGATTATCGACAACACCACCGGTCAACATCTGGGTCCCGGAGAAGTGGGCGAAATAATCTTCCGATCGCCACACGTCATGAGAGGCTACCACAACAGGCCGGATGCAACTGCCCAAGTGCTCGACGAGCAAGGATGGTGCAGCAGCGGTAAGTTGAAACTTTCAAAGGTTATTTATTTCCAACATTCGCAATGCGAGGGCTCCAATCAAAAAGCTTCTAATGGGCTTGGCTGGGACCACGACCCCTTACAATCAGGCATTCGTAGAGCGGGGCTCTGTAGAATTGAAACCACCTGAGGTTTCTCTTAAAGCGCATTGAAATTGCATGATACGCGGGCCTCCACGGTTTCGCTTTCATCAAAAGGCGACTGCCACAAACCCAGTGAAACGAACGATCATACGAACAGCCTTTGACATTTTCTTGAGCATCTGAGTTAGTGTGACATAATTGTGGTGAATAAAACGCATCCCGGCTACGAAGTGTTGCTACATGCATGTTGACATTTTGTGGGACGATGCGCGTGTGTGCCTGACAAAGAGGACGAAGGGTTGTCTCCGCTCGGTGGCTAGATGCAGTCTGTATGACCTTGAATGTATATAAGAGTGCAGTATTGATATTCCCGTTATCAGATCGCATCTCAATTTCAATATGTTATAAACAAGAGCCCATTCCGCAGGTGTAATCTCTTAAATATCTGGGAGTAATCTATAATGCCAACCTAAAGTGGACTCCCCAGATAGAAAGCATGGCATCTAAAGCACAACGCGCCTTAGGAATTCTTCGTAGACTGAGCAGCCGTCTATATGGTCTACGCAGAAGCACAATAGTGATGATATATAAAATGTATATGCGACCAATGCTAGAATTTGGGTGCGCATTGTTATCAGGTAGCCCTGCTTACAAAATAAAGCCTCTTGTTGTGCTTGAACGAGAAGCCTTGAGATTGTGCCTAGGACTTCCTAGCTTTGTAACAAACAATGTTTTGTATCAGGAAGCACGATTACCTACATTGCCTTGCCGTTTTCATGTCCTAACGGTTCAGACGTTTCTGAAATTTTATAACCCAGGCACCTTTATTCTTGCCCATTGGCCACGGTTTCGAACAACTCAGATTGCTTTTGTATAGAAACAACGAGATAGAATAAATGTAAAAATTCGAGATGTGATTACGGCGCAGGTTACAAATCAAAATCTTAAGATAGAATTCGATGAGATTTTTTCCTCCAAGCCCAAATTACAATCCTATAGGGTCTTAAAAAGCCGACTGCAGGATTATCTTGCGCACGCAGAAACGAATAATATTATAGCCACAGATGCTTCAGTAATGGATGAAAAGACAGGTGTAGGTATATACTCCCATTCGTTTGACTGGTCTTTTTCATTAAGATCACCAGATTTCACCCCAGTTTTTGAAGCTGAACTGTTGGCAATAGTTCTAGCGCTGCGAAAGCTGCCTTTGAATGCCGATAACGCAATCATAATCACGGATTCCCTGTCAGTATGTACGTCGATTACGGCGTCGAGAAAATTGATTGCCTTAAAGACGCTCCTTATGCTAGTCCCTCCTCAGCTGCAGCTACTGAAATTAGTATGGGTACCTGGTCATTGAGGCTTAGAAGTAAATGAAATCGCCGACTCTCTAGCACGAGCAGCATTGGAAGGGCCATTATTATCAGTCCTTCCCGAAGTGGCCACTATAACTGCGACAACATACAGAAAACTTGCGCTTCGTGCAGACACTATGGAAGCAATAATGTCAACACCAGAATTTACTCACTTAAGATTTCCATGGAAAATTCATTGGTGTCCTACAAGTCAGTTGAAAACCATAATAACGAGATTTAGATGTCGTGTCCCCCCGTTAAATTTCTTTTCACACAGGCCTGGTCTCGCAATATCACTGCTATGCAACTTTTGTTCAGAATCAGATACAATAGAGCACTATTTTTTATCATGTCGCCGATACAAATTGCTCTGGAAAACACTCTTAGTCCTCCCATTTGCTAGCCTGGGGCTGAACTTCACAGTAGAAAATATACTTTCCTTCGGTGCTTCCGATCTGGGCTTCAGCCACGAGAACGTTTTGTATGCAGTTTGCAAGTACCCTAATGAAAGTAAAAGAATGAAGATTTTATTTGCGTGATTAGTATTCCTGCAAAAATATTCCAACATACACAGGAGCTTTGTTTAACCATGCTGATTCTTATTCAAGGTAATGATTGTCTGATCTGAACCAGTGACAAACAACTATTGCACTCCTTTCATTCTGCCTAGGGTGTCTTTTCTTTTTTCTTTCTTTTTTTCTCCGGTGGGTGGTTTCGATATTGAATAAAAAAAGCTTACTGAATTAAGTCATCGATTCTTGGCCGATCCCCCTGAGTGGGTATGAGCCATGGCTGTGGAATCATCATCATCAGCTCGGTGGCTGGTCAACAGGTCCCGCTGCTGCTGCGGGTTTGAAATTTTCATCCACAGCCTCGTCGATACCGCGTCTCTTCTTTTCCGTAACATATTTGGTAGAGGTGGAATGTTTCCCGTCCTCACCACGAAGCTTCGCAGTGGCCGCACCGTTCATCCTACAACTATGGCCTCCAATGATAACCCGTCACCACCTCCAGCTGGAGCGCCAGCCACACTTTGCGATGTCCCAACCCCGTGATCCCGGTACGTTGTCCGCCCAACCTGGCCTTGACGTCGACTACTGGCTCCGCATGTACGATCGCGTTAGCCCGACTTACCAACGGGACCCTACCATGATGCTCGCCAACGTAATCTTTTACTTGGACGGCACCATGCGCGTATGGTTCAACGCTCATGAGCCCGTGATCACCAGCTGGGACATCTTCAAGGATCCGTCCTGTTGACAAATGGCCATGCGACAAAAACTCTCCACCCGTGTACAGTCATTAACCGAGTCGTATGGCTCATACGTACAGCACGTGCTCGCGTTGTGCCGAAACGTGAACGAGCAAATGACCGAGAGCGACAAGGTAGGCCACATACTCAAAGGCATCACAGACGATGCTTTCAACTTGCCTGTGTACAACAATGTCACGACTGTCAATCTCATAATTAAGGAATGCTGCTACTTCGAAATGGCCTGAAATCATCGAGTTCTGTCTCGATTTTCAGGGGCTCCTCGAACACGGCTGTCACGTCAACCAGCACTGATCTCGGCGCCACACCACCCTTGTACGAGAATGTTACACGCATCGTTCGGCGCGAGCTTGAGGCAGCTCCTCCGGCGCCGTTTCATCCACTTCCACTCTATTAGGGCACCGTCCAAACACCTCCGGCGGTCTCAGTTATTCAGGCAGTCGTGCGGCAAGAAACGTCTGTCGACCCGACTACAGACTGATGCCAATGGAACGCAGCGCGCCGCCACGCCGTGACCCATATTTTCTGCCCAGATCACGCAATCCGACAGAATGTAGAACAGCAGACAGCAAGCTCATCTGCTTCCGCTGTCACAGAGTTGGCCATGTCTCTTGCTACTGCCACAGCACTTGGACGCCCCCCCCCCCCCCCCCGGTTGGAGCCAATTTTCTTCCCCTCGCTCATACACGGACACCCGTCGGTATTCGCCCGGCGGTGAGTATCCTGCTTCCGACGCACCTAAGAGCCACTCTACCACTCGTCCACCGTCCCCGCAACGCCACAGTTTTTCGTCGCCCCAACCCCGCCGATATCCATCACCGACTAACTATGAATCCTCCCGGACGGAAAGCTAGATCATGCAGCTCCTGTAGATAGTGCTACATCAAGTCCGACTGACCCAAATTCTCCATTGATGCTCTGTACTAATAAGAACTTGCTGGAAGTGCATGCGGACGGTCTTTCTTCGATGGCTTTAGTTGACACTGAAGCTCAGGTGTCTATAATGAGTGCTCGCCTCGTTGCCGCCTCAAAAAAGAACTCACACCTGCTGCAACACAAGCCGTCCTGTGTCGCCGATGGTGGAAACTGTAGCCATCATTGAATTATTAGCCTTGCCGGCCGCCATGTTCCTGTTGTATTTACTGCACTCGACATTGCCCTCATGACCTCATCTTCGGGAGGGACTTCTTATCGACGCATTCTGCTCTGATCCACTCCTCCGCCGGCACTCTCTGTTTAGAACTTCGTCTTCTTCTAAATTCTCGCCTCGAGCTGCTGAAGTGATAAACATGCCTGTGCTACCTGGACGACGTCCTTGTATATTCGCCTAAATTTAAGACACGCCTTCAGCGTTTGTCAGCGGTTCTCGACATCTTTTGCACTGCTGGCCTTCAACTAAACTCATAAAAAGGTCACTTCGGCCACAAGCAGATTACGGTGTTGGGCCACCTTGTCGATGCACCAGGTGTGCAGCCTGACCCGGAGAATATTCATGCCATCACGAGCTTTCCTGTACTTCAATCTGTCAAGGACGTCCGAAGTTTTGTGGGTCCTTGTTTCTATTTTAGAAGGTTCGTGAAAGAATTCGCAACAATCTCTTGACCACTCACCGACCTTCTGAAGAAAGACATGACTTTTACGTGAGGTTCTGCTCAAGCTGCCGCTTTTTTCTCACTTCATAACACTCCTGACGACTCCACCTATACTGGCCCACTTTGACTTGTCTGCTCCAACAGAAGTCCGAACCGATGGGAATGGTCACGAGGTTGGAGCCGCCCTAGCCCAATGCCAGCGGGGACACGACCGAGTTATCACCTACGCTGGCTGCCTTCTCACAGCTGCTGAGCGTAACTATCCAATCACAGAGCGTGACCTTCCAACTGCCAGTCACCTTGGTGTATTACGCACTTACGACCGGATTCCCCCAATGCTTCTTTTGGTCAGGGCTTTCACGGTCTGCCAGAAGACACGTTGCGGCTTGTGATAAATGTCAGCGCCTCGAAACACCACCGAGGCTTCCCGTTAGACACCTTCAATCACTTGACATTTCCTCAGAACCTTTCTTCCGCGTTGACTTAGACTTCCTGGGCCCTTTTCACTTGTCTTCTTCTGGCAACAGGTGGATAGCTGTGGCCACAGACTATGCCACACGCTATGCCATCACACGAGCATTTTCAACAAGCTGCGCCATGCATGCCGACTTCCTCCTACACGACCTGATTTTGCAACATGGAACACCACGCTAGCTGCTTAGACCGTGGCTGCACGTTTCTATCGAAGGTCATAGCCGATATCCTACAGTCATGTGAAGCGAGGCACAAGCTCATTATATCGTACCAGCCGGAAACGAATGGACTCCCGGAGCGTCTGAATCGAACACTTACAGACATGCTAGCGAAGTACGGTTTCTTCCAAGTACTCTGACTGGAACCTTGCTTTGCCATACGACATTTGCATATAATTCTTCTCGCCATGACACTGCCGCTTACTCTCCATTTTTCTGTTGTTCGACCAAGAACCTACATCACCTTTAGATACAGTTATTCCGTCCTTCGCAACACCGACCAGCGAATATGCCCTTGACGCTATCACTCGGACTGCCCATGCATGCCAAATCGCCCGCACTCGCTTTCTGGCCTCTCAAGAGAACCAGCGGCGTTTGTACGATCAACAGCACCGCCACGGGCACTTTTTACCTGGTTCGTTGGTCCTGCCATGGTCCTCAACCCGTCAAGTCAGCTTGTCAGAGAAACTTCTTTCTCGCTACACAGGTTCATACTGAGTCCTTCGTGAGGTTACTCCTGTGACATACGAAATCGCCCCTGCTGCCTCGTCGCCTTCAACTGCCCCACTGATCACTGTTATCGTACATGTGGCACGCTTGAAGCCTTACCACTTTCCCGCTAATGTTAACATCAACATGCGCCGTGACGGCGCTTCTGCCACCGGGGATTATGCTACATGTATTTGGACATTTTGTGGGACGATGCACGTTTGTGCCTGACAAAGAGGACGAAGGGCTGCCTCCGCTTGGTGGCTGGTCAACTGATCAAGCCGCTGCTGCTCGTTTGAAATATATTTCATCCACAGCCTCGTCGATACGACGTCTCTTCTCTTCCGTAACAATATGAAGTATTTCTTTGGCCGATCTTGTGCCTAGTAAACAAAAGGGACAAATTACAAGCGATACATGCAATTTATACAGTGAAGACAGTAATCGCAGTAATTGGCTGGCAAGAATCTGATCAGCGGTAAGGCTCGTCGGCATTCACACATGCAGAGCTTAGGATTACAGCTCCATGGTTGAAGGTCGCGTTTGTTGCATAAACTGTACTTTTTGCTTTGGGCACTCGATCTAGTCAGAAAAATCTAACCTTGTGAAGCGGGTAAGCTCCTGATGAGGAAGACAAGAAGACGACACACAGCTGAATCACTGCTTCCAACTGATGTTTATTGTGGCACAAACTCGTTATAAATGTATAGTCTCTTCACTCATGAAATGGTAACTGTGCACGCTTGAGAATCGTACTAATGACTACCGGCTAGCCCGCATTTCTTGTTTTTCGATGCTGTTCATAAATGCTAGCTAGCTTTTCTTAAACCCTTGTTCATTTTCCATAATCTTTCTCACCCTGTTGGTATTGCCTTTGAGAGCGCGTTCATGAACATTTTTCTGTGTGATACCAAGTGGTTTTCCTTCGTCGCCCAGTTTCCATGGGCAGGCTAACAAAGCCTGTAATGATTAGTGCGAAAGGAAAAAAAGAGAGTGAGCGTACGAATAAGAGAAACACCTAGAGCCGAGTTTTCAAATATTTACAGTTACTATATTCACGATTGAAGAGACTACATATAAGGCGCGTTTGTTTCTCAGTATATATCAGTTGTAAGTAGCAATGTGTATGTCGTCTTCTTGTTAACGTCTTCGAGCACACACCAGTTTCATTATGTCACTTTACAAATTAACTCCGATTCAGAACATGAAATAATTTGCAACATTTGGCGTTCATGCGCCACGTAGTATAGTTAGTACGCGTGTGACAGGTCGGTCACATGAAATAAAAAACAAAGGCTGGCTTGGTAACACAGAGTAATAATAATTTATTACTTGGAGTAATAGTAATAACTAGTAATAATAATTTATTACTCCGAGTAATAATAATAGCCCCAAAAAATTTACAAGCGGCCAAGACATACGTGCAGAACCCAAGGCGCGCATGCTCTCTTGCGCTTGCGTTGCCCCAAAACCCGAAAATCGAAAACCAGCCTGGGCCCCCCAAGGTGTGTTCAGTCCAAAATGATGCAGACGCAGCATTGTCGACGACGCAGTATAGCCCACGCATCGCACGATTTCGTTTCGCAGCCTGTGGCACTCTGTGCGTTTGACCTAGTTCTCAAACTGAGCTGCTGCTCCAAATGTAACAGCAGCCTACCCAATGCAGCTTAGGGACCCACTGTCATGGGTCCCCAATCTTTGAACTCTTTATTACCATGCAGGTGATGCCGGCTACTACGACAGCTACGGTAACTTATACATAGCGGAGCGCATCAAGGACATGATCAAGTGCATGGACCAGCAAGTTGCTCCCGCAGAAATAGAGACCATCCTCAACCAGCACCCACTGGTTCGCGAGGCCGCAGTTGTGGGCATCGACCATCCGGAACTTGGAGAAGCACCGACTGCATTTGTAGTTGTCGAGCCTTCCGCCAGAGGGCAAGTCAGCGAGGAAGAGCTCGTACAATTGGTTGCAGGTTAGATGTTCTATCAGCACTCATTGTTATGCTACTCATTGCTTTGTATTACTATTTATATATATTTATTTTATTTATTTATTTATTGGTACTGCAACCATTTCAGGAGTATTAGCAGGGTGAAAAACAATGCATGAACAAAAATAGATTATAATAGCACTCAAAACATATGTACATGAAGATGATTACAGTAATAGTTTTAAAAACAAAAAGAAAACACACACACACACACTAAAAATAAGTTCATGTTCAATTGTGAAAACATTTACAAATGCAAATGAAATAAAGCAATAGGCAGCAGTAATATAATACAGACAGTAACTATAAAAAAATTAACTGATTATGTTTCGACCATCAAGGAATGATGAGAATGGTGATAAAGGTGCTGCTTGAAAGATGTTCCTGTTAAGGTTATTCCAATCTGCGACGATTCTTGAAAAAAAAAAAAAAAAACTTGAAAGAGTTGTTATGAGAACGAAAAATAGTGATTGGTAGTTCATGCCTTTGGCACGTTGAATAACTGGAAGAGAACGAAATTCATTTGCTAAAGTTGACATTATAGTGCCCCTTAATTAGCTGATATCAAAATTTTAAATGTGACGAGCGGTTTTTTCGGCTAAGGGCATTACGTTAGCGCAAGCTTGCAGTTCATGAACTGAGCTGCATCTGAAATCCTTTTAAAAGAACTGTATGGCTCGTTTGTGAACATATTCTAGTTTCAGAATACCTTTCGTATACGGGTCCCATACTAGAGCAGCATAGTTTAAGACTGGTAGGACAATCGAATTGTACGCTAATTTTTGTACAGAAGGGGTAGCCAAAGTTAACGTTCTCCTTATATATCTAAACCTCAGTTTTTGATTATTTTTGGCTGTATATGTTTCCCTGATAGTTCGCAGTGCACTTCCAATAAGGCCGAAGTTCATGGCAAGATTACAGTTTGAAAAGAGTGAGTGAGTGAGTCAGTCAGTCAGTGTCAAAGTGAGAGGTCTGTGCCTCCGGAAGGATTATCGTACTTTAAATTGCGGGGCCAATAGTCACCAGTACTTGCTCGCGCCTTGTCTTGCATACACATCAGCAGACAGCTAATACCTTTGCGGCTGTGGTGTTCTCACCGCTCAGTTCGCGATGAAGTGATAGACCGCATGAAGGTTGCGTCACTTAATACAGCACTGTCATTTTCTTCTGCCAGCGCTTTCAGTTATGCAACGTGAAATGGTGAAAAAGTTAGTAGCTAGCTTCACTTCGTATATTGCACTCAGTCGGTTGTGAGCAATCACCACAGTGTGAGCAACTGCCTTGGAAAAGGCAGTATCAAAATGCTTGAGTGATGACAAGCCGAGCATAGTGTTCGCAAAGAGTGCCGCGCCAGCTGGGCTGTCCGAAAGTGCACTTTGGTGCAAGTGACACACTTAATCCAATCATTCAGTAAATATATAGCTAGATTGCAGTCTGCAGAATATCAAGCAAAGGCAAAGTTGCCTCATTAAGCACAGGAGGAAAGGCAGGATAAATTGCCACGTTGCAAATAAGCTAAAGTGGCTGCCACTGCTAACTACTTCACAGGTTGTAAAACTATCTTCACTAACATTCAAATTAACACACTGAAGCACACCATTATATTTGCAATAAAGCCTAAATTTAATAATATTCTGTGTACATAGTCTGCAAAATCAAGACAAACATACATTATACTCCGGATGACTGCCAGTTGGGCGTGTTGGTAAAGGTTCATGATGAAACAAGCGCTTAAATTTACACACACTCAGAGAGGACACAGACGAGCACTTACTAGCAAATGAAAATTTTATTTCGAAATGAACACTAATAAGTACATAACACGCATGTACGTCATTCTTAACCTCCCTCTGTCATCATCAACGTGATATACCAAAATAATCACTCCCATAATCGATGGCACACAACCGGAAACAAACATGTGTCAAAAACTAAGAAAAGAAATTGTAAAAGAAAAGAAAAGGCACTGGATATGTAACGTCCAAAAAAGCAAATTTCACATCTGTTAGTAGAACAGACGCTTGACTGACGCAACTGTCACCTTCTTTCTTAGTTCTATACGCTTCCATTATTTCCGTCGTCGTCCGCTTCTTGTGCCTCTCAATTATTCGTGTGTCTGAAAATTTCGGTTGGCAGATGCACTTAGCACTGCAAGGAGTGTACCTGCCAACCGAAATTTTCAGACACGAATAAGTGCACCTGCCAACCAAAATTTCTAGACACAAGAATAATTGACAGGCACAAGAAGCGGATGACGATGGAAATAATGGAAGCATATAGAATTAAGAAAGGAGGTGACAGTTGCGTCAGTGAAACTTCTGTTCTACTAACAGATGCAGAATTTGCTTTTTTGGACATTACATAATCCAGCGCATTTTCTTTTTTTTTTTACATTTTCTTTTCTTAGTTTTTGACACTTGTTTGTTTCTGGTTGTGTGCCATCGATTATGGGAGTGATTACTTTGGTATATCACGTAGTTGATGATGACAGGGGGAGGTTGGGAATGACCTACACATGTGTTATGTATTTATTAGTGTTTGCATCGAAATAAAATTTGCAGTTGCTAGTAAGCACTCGTCTGTGTCCTCTCTGAGTGCTTGTTTCATCATGATACATTACCCTCGTGTTATAACAATTGAAGTCCTGTATAACGTATGATATGTACGTGGATATAAGTGGCACACTTTCATTCTAGTGCAAAATGCTGCATATGGAGCTGCATTTGACGTGCCATTATAAGTGACAATCGCGTCGCGACTGAATTCGAGTGACCGCTATACATGGCTGTGAGCGGGTGCAATGTATGTAGCCATATTTAGCGCAAAAAAAAAAACACATGCCGACTCGTACATTACTTCATTCAGCGCATTTTTTTCCTGTTCAGCCTTTCCCTCTAATCATCTCTCTCTTTGCCATGAAGGACCTGCACACTTGCTACCCGCACAGCTGCGCCACACGTGGCGGGACACTTGCCGCCCACAAGTGAATAACGAAATAGTGAATTGGTGACGCTCTTCCGCCCTCCGCTTGAGCGAGGCAGGTGCCCCACCAAGTGCAGTGCGGCTGAGCGGGTAGCACATGTATAGGGCCCAGCCGCATCGCACATGGCTGTACACCCACAAGTGGAAGATGAAAGAGCGAATCAGCGAAGCTCTTTTGCCCTTCGCTTGCGTGTGCTAAGTGTCCTGCCACATGTGGTGCGGTTGAGTGGGTAGCGCGTGTACGGGCCTGTCCAAGCACTACCTGACCAGCCACAATGGACGTGGTGGGACACCTGTCACACCCAAGCGGGGGGCAAATGACCGAAATGGCGACGCTCTTTCGCCCTCTGCTTGGGTGCGGCAGGTGTCCTGGAACGTGCATTGCGGCTGGGTGGGTAGCGTGTGGACAAGTCCTACAAGTCACAGCCGCCCCGCACGCGACGGGACATGCCGCGTGCAAGTCGAAGGCGAAATAACGAATCTGCAACGCTCTTTCATCCTCCCCTTGCTCACAGTAGATGTACCGCCATGTGCGATGCGGCTTAGCGGGTAATGCATATACAGGCCACAGCCGCACCACACAGCGTGACACCTGCCGCTCGCAAGCGACTGGGGGCGAAAAGGCGAATCGACAATGCTCTTTCACTTTTCGCCTGCGTGCACCAGATGTACCGCCACGTGCAGGGCGGCTGAGCGGGTAGTGCGTGTACAGGCCCAAAGCGAAGTGTGAGGAGGCTGCAGAGCTGAAAGCTTAGTTCATCTTTATATTTCCAATAGCTTAAGCTTTTTTGGAATGCAGCTTTCTTAACTCCGTTACATACCATTTTACTCGTTTTCATTGCAGAGCAAATGGTTTTTTACAAAAACTTGCATGGTGGCGTAATCTTTGTTGACCACATTCCCACGACAGACACGGGAAAGTACCAGCGGAACAAACTGCGTCAAGAGCACTCATGCCACCTCAAGAAACAGTGCTCGAACACTTGAAATATGCCTATGCCAGTCTTTTGAGTGCAAGCTACGTGCCATAGCAGTGATTTTGTAAACATACGCATGAGCATGGTCCTCCACTAGAAGTAGATAAGTTTCATCCAGGCACATCGCTCCCTCCCTTTGTATCATTATGAAAGACAACTACTTTATTCGCAATGAATGCAAGAAGTGGCCGCGATGACATGCTTCTCATAATTTTTTGCGAATTAATGCTGTCTACATGGATGTAAAGGCGGGAGCAGGCAGTTCTTGGAATGCGACATCGGGAGTTCTTCGGCTGCCATAATCATCTGAAACCTGCGTGGCTCAAACCCTGCACATTTACCTATGATGTAACAGGTCATACTAAACAAAGATACGGACGGGCCTGACATGCCTCCCTCCTTCCTAGACCATTGCTTATTGCACGATAGTAAGTTGACTCATTTTATCTACATCTGAAAGCCACAGTTGTGACTTAGAATCGAAACCGAAACTAGTTTTTATTGTAAGGTCGACTTACAACTGGGACATAAATAAATGAGAAATAAGGCACGCTATGCGCACGTTCTATGATGTAAAATTGCATGTATTCAATGACCAAAAGAAGTCCCTTACTTGACTGTGGATTGGGCTCTTTAGCCTGTTTCACGATACAGAGGCGTGCAATGAATTTTTCATTTGCGTATTTGGACAGGATTAGTCAGCTCAACAAACTTTAGCTGCACCTTGAAACCACACAATGAGAGACTATCAACTGGCGTCCCCACCAAATAGACAAAAGACTGGGCCTGTTTCTTTTCTTTATTTTTCTTTCTATCTTAACGGCTTGTCTTTTTCTCTCTCTCTCTCTCCCTACTTGCAGTTTAAAATCCCTACGCAGAGTAAGAAGTCAGCTATTTGTTTATGCCGGCTAAATTTTCTGCTTTTAAATAGAGAGTTCTCTCTCTCTACGGCGGGATTACGTGATTATCTTTATTTTCTAGCTCTAGCTGTAAAACATACCACATTTCCTCCTGTACAACTAGCACTTTTGCGATCAACAGAAAATTTTGCTAAAAATGGTCCCTGCATACTTTGGCAAAGCATGCTTTTCTGTAGAGTTTTAAAGCATTGCCATGAAGCCAACCTTGCACACCTAAATTTGTTAGTTTTTTTTTTTTGGTGCGATAGTCTATGAATTTTTCTAATGAAACGAGCTCGCACTCTTTATTTATTTGCTCTCCTTTTTTTTTTTGTTCTGTTTATGCAATTTTATGAAGGTTGACGTACAAAGTCAAATATGTTGCTTTTACGTTGTTTTGCTGTTATTGCCTGCTTTGCAAGTTACAGTTGTACAATAAAGCCAATTTCAAAAAACAAAAGAACGCACCATTATCTTCTTTTTTTATGTTCTTTGCCTCTGGTTTCTTTGGAACAAACCTAATCTCAGCCTTTTCAAAACGACGATCATCTCACAAACCCCGAGTGGTTTCCCTTCAGCGCATACCTTGGGGGAAGTTGGAAAACGAGAACGCTTGACAAGACAGGGTAGGGTCTTTTCTCCGCGCTTCAGCGACTGTTACACCAGACGAAACAGGGCACTTCTTTCAAAGGACCTAGGCTTCTTTGGTGGCAGATTCTATGTTCATATCTCAAGTACAGGCGCTAGGCTAACATTTTCATGCATACCACGCGCTATGCTTGCGCATGCAACATCAACGTAAAGCTTTTGCGTCTAGTGCAACCACAAGTATTTAACCTATGCACCTGCACGATGAATGTCATGCAGATGCCTCGGTGAAGCATGCTTTTAATCCTAGAGTTACTTTACTCTTAATCCTATAGGTACTTACCTATCTTAATCTTAATCCTATAGTTACTATACCTGCCCGATGAATGTCGCGCGGGTATAGTAATTATAGGATTAAGCTGAAAGCACTAATATTCTTTTTATCTATTATAACAAGTATCCACATTTTACCAGCGAGTCAGTTCCATCCATCACCTCGCAGATACTCTTCATCTTCGAAGAAGAAGTACTCTATATGAAGTCGGAGCTATCTCCTTTTCAACCACACGAAGTAACACTGAAGCCAGGGTAAGCACAAGAAAAAATTATGCCAATTAGAGATCTCAGAATGATAAAAGCAAAACGAACGTTGAAAAAATTGACAATTTCTGGAACTTAAAATGCATTACATGAACAGACTTTCGGGCTGGTTCGATAAAATCAATGAAGCCAGAGCACTCAAAATATGTGGACCATTGTAAAGAACAGGACGAGCACACGTCCTGTTATTTTCCGTTGTCCCTGTGTTTTCTGCGCTCTGGCTTCATTGAACCTAACATGCACAATTCACACGCTACACCAGTGAACACAAGAGGGCAGAGGAAAATGAGATCATGATACAAGCACCGATACTCCTAGCAATATGAACATTCCTGGCGCATTGTTGCCATTGACGCCGTCGTGATGTCACCCAACACCTCGCATTTTCTGTGTATACATACTACTGGAAGCGTGCATGGGCTCGTGCACAGTTGTGGCCCCAGGGACCAAGACACAGGTGGCATAGGTGCGGTGGCAACTGCGTACTTTGACCTGCCAGGCATTGTTGACCGCACCGTATCGTTAGAGGAATGAACAAAAGGCTCGTACCTCTGCGCGTGCTGTGCACTCATCACTAAGATTTCCCTGAAGCCACAGACAGTGTGGGGAATCGCTTGGCAATCTAGAGTGGCTGCAGTTTCCCAAGGGCAGCATTTTGTTGAGTTATGCCAAGTCGCATGTTCTAGGAGCTAGCTGCCTCATTACTTCGTATAACATTCCAGCTTGTTGCAGTCGCATTCAAAGTTTCATCCTAGCAGACACACTGTGACTTTTTTTTTTGTCCTCTTCTGCTCATTAATGCTGCTCATGAACAGCTCGCCCAAGTTTCTCTTCTACTGTATCATATGTGCTATGAGGTACTGAACAAGCGTATATTAGCTGGTCGCCGAAGAATAAAGTAACTTATTATGTAACAATATCTATGTATGCTGCCACGATAAGCGGCATAGGCCACATTCTCATCTCTACCTTTGTACACATGCATATGCAGATAACCAAGAAAAAGTAGGACGGGAAAATCACTAGAAAAGCTTGATTAATGACCAACGTACCAAATCACACCTGATCACATATCGTTGTATGCTTATGGAGGGGCAAAACTGTCGTCCACATGTTCGTAGCATGAGGCTAAAAAGGAGTTTTTCAGAAATAAAGCTGCCCAGCTGATAATAAAATTAGCTGTCTAAAGTTCAAACTCACGGGATCAAGGCCTGTACAGGCTGTTGCTCTAAAATTTGCATAGATCACACAGAAAGTGCACACAAGCATGTCTGTTCATACAATTGTAGGTAACAAAACAATGGGCTCCTTAGACCCCTTTATTTTTTGCTGTTCAAATGTGGCAAACAATGCCTGCTGCTACCTGTAGTGTCAAATTATTCCGTCCTTGTCTTTCCTGGTGCAAAGAAAAGTCCAATAATTGGACGGTGTTACATATTTGAGCGATCCGAAATGGTCAACAGCTTCAGTTAAATGCTGCAAAAATGAAAATGGGGTTGGGGGGGGGGGGGGAGCAGGTGAAAAACTCAGTAATGCAAAATCCTTCTCTCGTAATCAAACTTTGTTATATCATATGATGACAACATCAAGACTTCTGATGCAAAACCCACATTGCAAGCACTCGATCGTTGCTCAAGGAGAGGACTAAATTACATACTGGTTCTCGAAATCATACGGACATTCAATGTCATGCAACGCTATGGTCCCACGATTCCCCTAAAATGGATGCACAGACACCGCGGCTTGGCAGGCAATGAGCTTGCTGATGCTGGAGCAAATGCCACTGCGGATAACGGCGCAGTTCAAGTACAGATTTCATACTCGTAGAGTCCCGTGAACGCTTTGTTGAGATCAATTGCTTCTATGAGAATGCACACCTTACTGGTCTAAACCAGAACATCGGTACAGGTGTTTGAAAATACAGACCCTCACGTGACATTTCGCCTACTGGCCAAAATAAACCTAAGCCACAACGTTTGCTACACTGAATTTTACTGCACATTCACTCGACTCTACATACACCTTACTGGACATGCGGTCAGCCCGAGCTGTGAGTACTGCCATGTGGATCAACCTTTACCACATGGCGCAACTGCTCTCCACACACGTCCCAATTGAAGATGCAGGCTTCAAAATTTGCAGGCGTCACCATAAAAGCTTTTAGTCAAACTAGCCTATTGTCCACAATGTCTGCTAAGACAGCAACAGCGACTGGCTACAAGGGCATTTGTCGACTTTCCAAAGAGTACTGGACTAAACAGTAGACTTTAAGAATACCACTGCATTACGTTGTTATCATACATACGCATCCCCTCCTGTTCCTATTATCATCTTCATCACTCTTTTTCTCCCTTTCCATTTATTCCTGTACAGAGCAGCTGGCTAGAGTGGGCAGATAAATTTGCACTCTTATCAGCATTTCGAAGCATAGATATCAAAGGATAATCTTAACTGTGACATATTGATGTCCCTATCAGACAAATGGTTCATGAGGCATGAATAGTTGTGGATTAATTTTGAGCCCATTGGTATTTTTAAAGAGGCACTAGACCAATGAATTGTATCCCTTTGAAGTAATATGTGGGGTTTAACGTCCCGAAACCACTATATGATTGTGAGAGATGCCATCAGTGAAGGGCTCCGGAAATTTCGACCCCCTGGGGTTCGTTAGCGTGCACCAAAATCTCAGCACATGGGCCGGCAGCATTCTCGCCTCAATCGAAAATGCAGCCGCCTGCAGCCGGGATTCGATCACGCAACCTGCGCGTCAGCAGCAGAGTACCTTAGCCACTAGACCACCGCAGCGGGGTAGCTTTGGAGCGATGAATCATTGTTTTAGAACTCAATCATGATTAATTTTGCCATTATAGATCCATTACAAAAGAGGAAATGATGGTTAAAGTTCTATGTTATAAGTAAGCACTTCAAACTCATTGGCATATGAACATCAGTGCTACGTCACAAATTCCAGTCTATTTGAGCATTTTAGTCATACTGGTTCAAAGAAACTTTCTGTCACAACAATAATCTGTTTTTCGTGCCTTCCTTAAAATACTGATTATTCATTTTGCACAACCCTGAAAAAATTGGAAAGCTATGCCTCTTTCTATGTTAAAAAAAGAACTGGAATAAAATATGACATGTGCATACCTTTTTTTGTTTGCTTGTGTTGTTCAGGTGCGGTCACAAATTACAAAATCTACATATGGAAGTCGGGTAGGGTGCAAAAAAGATGTACCAAGATTTCTATGAATAATGACACATACAGATAATGTAAAACTAACCTTAGTATTTCTAGCAAAAGCACGCATAAAGTTTTAATTTATAGCTGGAAGGAACACCTACTTACTGGAAGAAACGCATTTAGAGCGTTGACCCTTTAACCCTTTTTAAAATTACCCTTTTTGAAATTACCCTTTTTGACCCTTTTTAAAATTATTGATAATGTATAGATGAATCAAAAATGATGAACCAAAGTTACTTAACATTCTATGTACACTCAAAGCTCCTTATAACAAAACTGCATCTTGCACAAAATTAAGTTTGTTATATGCGAAAATTCGTTGTAAAAGCATATTCCTAACATTATCTTTATTGAAACTATTCTTCATTTACTTCATTAGAGCCGATATTTCGGTATGTCCGGGTTCATTATATCGAGGTTTGAGTGTATAGATGTGCAGGTGAAAAAACCCTGTGCATAGCAACTCTCAAGAGCAAGCGTAATAACGATAATCTTGGTGTAATTAGAGTAAAAAATGTACACAAGAAAACACTCCTTTCAGGGTTTCCCTTGTATCATCATATGCATGCAATTGCCTGCACAATCACATAGAACTTAGAGACAGTGCTGACTATTTAGCGTGCCACACTTATGTAAACCACAATTAAACTTTGCAGTGGGAAATTCCAAAGCGCCAATATGCTCGAAGAATCCTTTCAAGTGTAACTGCAAGGAAACACAACTGCCTCAAACGTATCAATAAACATGGCCACTTTCTGCTGTCACTAAAATGTTATTTATTCCATATTATTTATTTGGGCAGCTGACGGGGATAATTACTGTCACACTTTGTGTCCTCCTGGATAGATCTCATCTGTAAAGGTGGTTATCTTAATCTTCCAGTGCTGACTCTCAAGAAAAACATAAAGGTTAACTTTGTACATCGACCTATAGTAAAACGAGAGTAATAATGATGATGATCAAGAGAAGTCAGCCCACAAGTACCATTGACGACATTAAAATTTACACTATATTCCCAAAGAGAACCCTGATGCTATGCAAAGCAGCAGTGTTGCGCACGGGTGGCGTCACGGGTTACACAGCACTAACGTGGGTGCTGTAGTGAGCACTGCGAAATTCATTTTAAGCGATGGCTGGCAGTAGGTCTTGTCATTTCTTCAGAGTGGACACGGGTCTTGGACACGTACAGACATGTTTTGACGCGAACGTTAGGCGTGCACCAGGTTTATTGCGTGTGAATTGACAAGTCAGCGGTGGAGCGAGCGGCGGTCGCGGCAAATGTTGCGGGCGAACACACAACAGGGCAGCTGCGGCAAGAGTGCGACAGACGATGGAGGGAGTGACGTCAGTGCGCACTGCGAGAGAAGCATAACGTCAATGCGCAGTGCGGTGTGACCTGCTAGGCACAGTATCAATACCAGCGCCGAGGAGAACACGCTGCAGTGCGTTTGTACGGATGCACGGATGGACAGTGTTACACAGGCTAGTCAAAGAGCTTCTTCACATCTAAAAAGAATAAGAATAATATAAGAGAGAGCCACCTGTCTCACCTTGTGTTTGCTACCAGAGATAGTCACATCACTAAACATGGTTGCATATCCGCAGTTATCGGCAACGTTCCTTTGGCATCGCTTGTGCACATTCAGGCGGCATGCTGCATACATAAAGAAAACATACCGTATCACTGCAGTTCACACCAAGACTATACCTCTGTGTTTCTCTAAAGCAATAAAGTGAGGGCATCACTGATTACCTTAGCGCTGTAGTACAATCCTGGTGCATTTTAGATAAGTGAAGATTCGGTGAAACTATTTGAGCCATTTTTTTAAGTGTCTTTTTGCATGCCTGCCGAGTTCGTGCAGCCATTTCTTTTGCAAGCACTTGGCCTATCTTGTCTGTGCTTTTTCTTTTGTTACGTTCTTTAGGCTACAATTTAAGTTGTGATGTTCTTTATCTCATAATTTGACTCTTTATGAATTTATGATGAGACTAGTTGTTCATCCCTGAAGTGTGCCTAAGGTAGCAAGAAGTGCGATGCAAGAATGCTATGTTGAAAAAAAAAAAGAAAAAAGAAACGTGCATGTCACAATACTCAGCGTGCATTCAGCTGAGCAGCAAATATTCATCTAGCCTTCTGGCACATTCTTTAAAGACTTTTCGGGCATCGCACAATGTGGTAATGAATGCAAAAAGTACAAAATTAGTTTAATAAGTGCTCTAAGGACACTTATCTGCAACTTATAACGAGGCTTTAGAAAGACATGCTGAATATTCGTGCCAATTTTCACGAACATTTGTCACGCTTTAAGAAAGTTGGCTTTCCAAAGCCGTGTTCCCTCTTAAAGCAGCCATTGCAAAAAGTGGTGGCTGCACGAGGCTGTTGTTATGAAAAAATCACTGTACACTGACAAGAGCTTCCTGGGCGAAAATGCCAGATGCGATGAACTCAAGAACGGTGCCATGATGCTCGCCTGGAGTAAGAATTGCGTACTACAGTGGCTTCACCCTACACAGTGCCAGTACTGTTACCTTCAGGTAGCCCATCATATATAGGCTGCTATAGCATTTATTTTCACTACTAAATATTAGAGTTGTACGTACATTTGTGCATTTTGAATGTTCAGACGAGTACTGAAGTATTTTTTGAATGGGTGGTTTCACTCCAGCAAGAGTCTGCTTTGCTGCATGACGTTGGTATGCTTTTTTATTCTTATTATTTTTTAATTTAGTGTTTCTATAATGCTGTTCTTTTGTTTGCCATTTGCCTGCCCTGCATTCAATCAATACATATCACTGAGAGGTTTCCCTGAAAGTGTTTACTTCAGGGCCTCCTACTGTAATACTTATGAACCATTTCACTAGTATTTTCATGATGTCACAATAAACTTCAAACCTGAACTTCAGAACTGCCTATTCTGGGGAAATCTTCACAACTGCAAAGAATAAGAATAATATAAGTGTTAAATGAGTTAAACGTGTACATTACCTCCAGCCCGATTTTTTCCTTTAAAGTTTTCCTTTAAGCACGGGCTCACATGAACTATGAGTGGAAAAGTTTAAAATGTAACATATTTTGGCGCTTATAATGCGCACCCTAAAGCTACTCGAATTTCACACCTATACTAATTCACTCTAAGATCCTTTTATACTAATTGCCGTTCACTTCAACTTAATTCACTTTGAACCAAATAGTAATATTCACGCAAGCCTAGTAAATGCATTGCATTAGTGAAGCCAATCTGTTTTGCTTTGAGAAAACCCAGCTTCATGTACGATATCTCTTTACTGATAACAAGGAAAAGAAACCGCAATAAACATAGAGGCAAATGACAAGCATTGAATGAAAACGAGGCATAAGTAATGAAAAAATTGAAGGTTCGAAGAAATGAGAAATGTTTATTATATAGTTTACCAATATAATGTGTTCTTTTGAGCTCTTTGTTTTAAACAACCTGTCATTACTCCTTAAATTGCCCAACTTTTTACTTTACTGCTAATTCACCACTGTTTTCTGATCGATCTAATGATCCAGTGCCAACTTTTCGTTAGGAGGTTCCATTAACAGGTCGTACTTTAAGATTTCTGATTGCAAAAGTAAAAAATGCATCATAATGCATGTTACCAGACCTATCAAATATGAATTAAACAAAAAATGTCGCTACATCCAATGTTGTGACAAGTCATCTTGCTGCCCTGACGAAGACACCTCCTTGTAAAAATGTTTTCTCTAAAGGCATTCCCTGTTTAATGATTGCTCAGGCATGTGATGATGCATACAGCTTATTACTCGAAAGACGTGGTGCAAGGTTGAAAATCGAGAAGAACCAAGACGAGACCGAGAGAACACCAGGCGTTTCTTCGGTCTCTTCCTGGTTCTTCTCGATTTCAACCTTGTGCCACGTCTTTTGAATTACAATTGGCCCTACATGGCCTACTGCTAATCATACAGTTTAAGCTACCTTTGCAGTGCACTCCTTGCTCAGTCAGGCCAGTCAGGATTGTCCCGCAGTGGTCGCAGAAGGTTGGCCGCCTGTAGGTCCGCACCGCAAACTGGTGTGGGTTGTTGGCATTGAGCTCGCTTCTGGCAGCCAACTGCAGCACACAGACGCAATTTTAGCCTTTCCGAAACGGGCATTCCAGTCTTAGAATCAGCCGGCTTTAAGGATCCTTTTTCAGAACAGAGCTGCTGAGTTATGCTTTGGAGAGATAACAAAAAACTATCATCGTCAAAAACCAGCACAGCTCTTTTTGTCTTCTTCTTTGTCTTCTGCTTTGCTTCCAGAGCATGTGTGCCAATTCGTCCGACGTGAGATGCAATAACTCTGATGGGCGAGAAAACGGGTACAGAGAGAAATAGAAAGAGGTAGGATGATATAGAGAGGAAGAAAGAAAACAAAGGTCGATAAAATAAAAAGATTCAGAAAGAAATAGAAAAAACGGGGCTGTTCCCTTTATATAACAATCGGTACAACACAAAAGTAAAACGCGTCTTCACAAGGATATCCGAGCGATTTATTGTGTGTTGTTTCAGCAACAGCAACAAATTGCAAAGTCACGTTAGGAACGGCAAGCAGCTCGAAACTTGCAGCGCACACTTGAAGCACACAGCATGCACACAAATAGCATACACAGTACGAGCATGGACTAACATCTGCCACAGCTCGGCTCCTAAAGCGTGCTGTTCAAACAAAAAGAAAGACACATGAAACAAGCGCACAAGTATACACAGCACAAGCGTAAACAACCGTCACAATTCTATCTGTGTCGTGTGTTAGCAGCGCGCTCCTTTCGTAAATGTTGCCATGGCAGCGAGCGAAGTGACCTTCGTCCTCTGCCGAATTACAAATATGATGAGCGCACGTGAAAGAGAGACCACACTCAGTGAAGGCGGCACTTCGTGGAGGAGACGACCTTTAGAGTGTGCCCAATGAGAGCCCATCGCACCATCTTGCAACTGATAACGAAAACACGCTCGAGTTTAGGAGCTCTGAGGACCCCCAAACGATGCATAGTGTATATGAATGGCTCGCCATCGGCGTGCCTGAGAACATAAGTTCCATGGTGTAGTGGTCAGTACTGCGAGCTGGTTCAACTCTGCGGAATAGATTCATGCTTGATTTTTTTTTTTGCAGACTGTTAGTACATATTTTACAGCATCCCATCCGAGACGGGAATAAATCAGCGGAGCCGTGGCGAACCCTGGCATAAAACACTTCCGTGTTAAAAGATTGAACGAAATGGACACAGAGGAGAGATAAAAACAAACAGCAAGACAGTAAGGAAAAGAATCAAAAGAGCGAGGAAAAGGATCACCAGACCTGTGCATCTTTTCCACAGCTCATTGCATGCTCTCTTGAGGCAAGTAACTACACCTAGAGTTACTGTACCGTATATGCTACCTTTATTACCATTCATGATTTGAAAATGCCTGCCAAATCTGCCCCCTCCCATTCTTACTGTTCCAGTTATTTCACTCTCATGGTTTGGCTTTGCAGTTACTACCTAAGTAGACCTTTACCACTTTCAGGGTCTCATCACCTATGGCAAAGCACTGTTCACTACCAATACAATTGCACATTAACTTAGTTTTATGCATACTATGCAACCTCCCGCATGATGCAGCTAGCGTTTCTCTAAATTTGATTCAGCAAGCACCTCTACTGCTGTAAGCATTGTTTTCAAATTGATAAGAGCTTCTCATCAATCTAGTGCCCGGTTTACTTTTGCGACAGCTCAGTTCTCATGTTTTTAAAAGGGCTACTTGCCAGGTTACGACACTGAGGGCGAGCATATGAGACACGTAGATCAGGAATTGGCAATCGTGTTTGCTAAGAGCCACGAAACAGCCTTAATGCATGAGAATAGTCAGTGTTTGCCTGAATTTTAGGTGTGAAAAAGCATTAACTAAGACCCCAGCTCGGCTCCACCTATAATCTTCACTTTGGAACCTGCGTTTTCTTTATCATTTTTCAATTGCATTTGTGATCGCAGCAAAGCCTGAAAGGCAGGTTTGTTGCTGTTCGAGAATGTGATGGGATGAGACATATTAAAATCTGAAGGGCTTACTGCCAATCTAATGTTGACTCTGCGAGTCTCCAGAAAGTTCCAATAGCAAACACTAATAGAGCAATATTGAAAATTTAGAATATTCGCACACCCCTAGTTATTATAAACATTTGATAAAGAAAGACACAAGCTTTGCAGTGCCACTATGCAGCCTTCACTTGCTGGCTTACCTCATCGTCAGTGCTATCACTCGTACCCGTGCATTTGGTGATCACCATCGCGTGACACCGCTTGTGAACAACACACGTGCAGGCTGCGTTAAAAAAAAAAAAAAAAAACTGGCAGTGGAGTGACTCATTGATCATATTTTCCTAAAAAACTGAGTAAAAAAATTAAAGCACCGTGAAGACACTGTGCCCTCTTGAGCACCAGATATTAGGTTTTATATTCGTTATTTCTCATAGTTTCATTTAGTATGCATTTTCTACTTATGCATTCGACACAACATAACAAAGTAGTGAAGCTGACAGCATACAAAAAAAATAAATAAAGGCACGACACACACACAGCTCTCATGTGTGCACTTTTTTGTGCACTATAAGCTTCAGTATGACACACCAACATGCACAAAAGGCTACATTGATAAGAAAGTACATGTCTTAAAAACAAACTGCTAGGAGTATTACGAGCCGCAGCAGGAGCTCAATTAGGCGTTGTCAATCTCACTAAAAGCAGAAATGTATCTCCGGCATGACACTCTGGGAAAGTTGCTAAACTAGTTAAATTCATAGTTTTTGCGAAGTGAAACCACAATGCAGTTATGACATTAATTTGTGGAAAGGCTTCTAAATTAATTAACTTTAGCAGTTTATTCATATCAAGACAACAATGTGATTGCCATAGTGGAATGGGTGACCTTAGATTAATGTAGGCTGCCTAATGATCTCTGATGCACACTGAAATGTAAAAACACAAGCATTTTCACCACTACAGCTAGGAATCGAACCTGGCCTTTTATGCTTAGCAGCACAACAGCACAGTTGCTAAGCTGCCAACAGAGCCGCATGTGCAGTTTCGCTTCAGATATTCGCAGTTGTCTTTATAGGTATGTAAAAGTCCCAGCTGCCATTTCATAGATGTCCATTTTGTCTTTAAAAACTTTCAGACAGTATTGACCTCAGTTTCATTTCACTGAAGAGGGCCACTATGCAACTTCATCTGCTACTTTTCTGAATGCATAAAAAAGTCAACTTAAGAATGTGGTTTAATCTTTCCATCTATTTCTCTGAAACAAATGAGTGAACATAAAGAGGGTGATGAGGGCAGTAGGCGTCTTTTGCATAGTGCACCAGATTTATACTGCCCAGACAGTTCGGTGACGCCATTGTTAATACTGTTCTCGTAAACCTACAAACAAGGAACCGTGACCACTCAGCTACCATGTATAGTTAGGCAATCAGAAATGAGCACATCTTAGAACACTGTGTGAGCAAAACAAAGAGAACAGACAAACGCAGAAAAACAACTAATCCGTAACAGAGATATATTCTCGTCTATTTTTTTTAATCTACCTTAATCCACGCTACAAGCAAACTACTAATGTTCTTAAATAATTTACTGTTACCCATGCCATGCAAGCCATATATAGGGGAGACCAATAATAAATTCAGATTTTTCAGCCTATTTAATCAAGAAAGCAGAGCGTTACTGCCAGAACTCAATGCTCATCGACGGAAGTGATTTCTTGATCAACGAGATGTACTGATGTTGCATCACAAATGTGCATAATCTTTGCTTTTTGATTGACAGTGTTCACAAGTGTGAACACAGCTACAGGTTCAAGTTGGCTGTTGAACAAGAGCTTAAACTTTGGCCGGGTGGCTGAACTGCGTGACAGACAGACAGACAAACCTAATGTTTTTTTCTTATGTTCCAAGTGTGACAAGGAAGATTGTCGTCTTCAAAAGAGAGTGCTCAAGCCAGTACGTGCACGTAATGTAGCTTTTTTTACCCCGCGCCGCTCCTCACTGCTTAGCTTCCCACACACTCGTTAGGACAAGAGAAGAGGGAAAGTGTTTACAGCCTGCGATAAATCTGTAACTTCACTTGAACTTGACATGTTCTAAAAACATCCAGGGAGGTCAATTCATGAAGCAAAGACCTCCCTTTATGAAGACAATCAGGGTTACTCATAAAAGTGTTGCAGAGCCTCCTTTAAAAGATTTTCCACTCTCATCCATTTCAGGGTTCTTTCACATAGGGTGCTCATGTTATGATGCGGAATGTTGACACATTGGAGCAAAACATTGTGGCTTTCAGTGTATTCAGCATACCGATGAAATGAATTGACGTATCAATGCACCTTTTTCTGTTGTGTGACCACATATCAGATCACCTCCAGGAAAGCTAGCACAAAACTCATTTGCTGAGATGTTATGGTAGAATCTAGAACATTTATTATTATGATACGGATTGCAACATTGTATATCTTATGCCCCCCAAAAATAAATTAACGAACAGTTCTTGTTTGAAGGTACGAAACAGCAAACACAATGGTTTTCAAAAAGCCCGCTATCATTTACCTTTGCACTGGTAGCCTTGCTTTCCAATGCCCCTGGGAAACCGAAACAAGACAAAAAAGGATAATTAACATTTACAATTAACAACACTACAGAATTAGCACATATAGAGAAACCCTCTCTGTTACACATTACGACGTACCTACATACAGCCTTCCTTCAATGAACGCCGGAAAGAAAAATTCCAGGTTACCACAATATCAACAAGCAAAGATGCCTCGATGAACTGTAAATATACCTAGAGAAGGCTATCTAATATCAGAAACTTGGTTTTGACTTGTTCATAGTGGGTCATATTCAAAAAACTTTGTATTGCGTAGTTAGTATGATGCACCAATTACCAGCATGTGGGGTGCAGCGCAATTAATGCGGCTGATGTAGAGCGCGTAGCCAGTTCCCGACCCGTCAACTAAGGAAGCTGATCGGTTCCGCAAAGGCGAACGCGGAAGACCCGAGCGCAGGAAAGAAAAGAGGCTTCTTCGTTCTCACGGTTCACAAGCAGAGCAGTCAAGGTCGCCCCCGTTCGGGATTAGAAGGGGAAAGCTTACTCGGAAATGTGTCTGGCATGAGACAGGTCAGGCGCCACCGTCTGAGTTTAAGCCATTGTTGGCAGGCACGCGTGTCATTGAAAATGACACGGGGCGCGACCACTTTGCTGATCGAGACATAGTGACGGCAGGGAAACGACCATAACTTCCCCCGCTGTTGTTAGGATGTCGGGGCGCCTCACTGTCGCATGTATACCTGGTAAGCGCACAGAGCGCAACGGTGCACTCACCGCTCTTAGGGACGCTTTTACGAAGCAACATTTAATGAGAGAGCCGACGGGGCTCGAGCGTGAGAACGGCCATTGACGGAAGTCGGCCAACAGGGGCAGCACGGCCTGGTATAGGAGAGAGTGTCACACGCGGAGAACCTATCCCTTTGCGTGTTGTATTTGGTAACGTGGTTTTTACCAATGCAGTGTCTATTATGAAAGTGTTTCTGCAATTGGTTGTGGCAATGCGAGCCCACACGTGTGATTGGTTTTTGTGAAGACTCTTTGTTCGACCAAGGGTTGAAAAGAGGATGTTTAAGTGTGAATTAGAGCGGAGGTTCGGGCTTGGACTCGGGCATTCACCTGAGGTTGCAATAAAGCGTCTTTTCCTTCGCGCTGCCACCGTGCACTCGAGTCATCGAGGGGGCCCATTCTAAACCTCAAACATCTTCGCTCCTTAGCTAGTGTTGAAGCTAGTCGAGGAGGAAGAAATTAACTGGCGCAGTCGAGCTGGAGTGGAAAACCCGCTGCGAGGAAGAAGCTGAAGTCCGGGAAGCTGACAAGACGCTCACCGCTTCGGGACCTGCTGTTGCGCTGCGAGAAGCAGCATTGACATTCGGTATGAGCCTGCCGGTCAACATTGGAGCCTGGAGTTCGGCAGTGCAAGAGCACTGCGCGTCAGTGAACGAGAGCAGAGCCACACGTCATCGTTGAGCAACGGACTTATCGGAGAGGCACTGCAGGGTGCTGCTTCAGGAGCAGAGCAGCAAGGACCGTCTATGTGACAGACCGAGTCAGTGACAGGGGTCATCAGGTGAAGACCTGCTGCATTGGAAGTAGTCAGCGCACATAGTGTTGGTGATGAGACGGACGCAGTTCCAACTGTCAAGTGCATCGGTCGACGCATCACTGCAAGGTGAGGCCTGCTTTGTGCTCTCTCGGGGCCCCCATTTTTTTAAACTGAATGCACTTGCGTTGAGGCACACTCTGGGAGATGGCGAATTCAGAGCGAGGTGTCATGGAAGGTAACACTGTGAATGAATTGGATCGCACCCACGAGTTGCAGCTCGAGATAGAAGCGTTAGAGCTCAAGCTTGAGCTTGAGAAAGTGAAGTCATCGCGTGCCTTGTCAGAGGAGTCGGAAAACCAGAACCAGCATTCTAGTATCGCACGGTACGCGAAAGAGCTGAAGACAGTCTTAGCACCTATGCCCACTAATGAGCTTATGATTCCCGCTTGGTTCAAACATGTGGACACTCTCTTTGCGGCATTGGGCATACCTGAGGAAATTCAGGGCACGCTTCTGTTGCCATTTTTAAGCGACAAGATGTGCCTGTTCGTCGCCAATCAGGCTGAAGCTGGGGTAATGCTGTACGCAGATGTAAAATTAAGAGTGCTGAGGGAGCTGCGTATGACTCCGAGCGAGTACCGCCGTATGTTTGTGGATATCAAAAGAGAAGCAGGCGAGTCTCGGAGCCAAGTGACGGCGTGCCTGCAGACTATATTCTGTACTACTTGAAAAGTAGAGAGGTGGAGTCGTTTGAAGATCTTAGGGAGTTACTTATTGCTGATAGACTCAAGCAGTTAATGCCAAGTGAGCTCCACTCACTCGTGCTTCAGCAGGAAGTGAAGGGCTGGTTGAGGCCCAGGGATATTGCGGAAGTAGCCGCCAATTTCGAAGAAAGCCTCGGCAGTGGCAGGCAGGGCAGCTATCGCAATGCAGAGCCTTGGAATTCAAATTATGGGCCGCAAGCCAAACTATTTGCTTGTGCTAATTTCAGCCCTAATTCAGGAGCGTTCGCTGCGGAAAACGGGGCCACTTTCATAAGGATTGCGAGTTTTCCCGTGGTACTGCTGCTAATACAGCCGAAGTTTTATGCGTGGCTTCCCAGAGGAAGCGATCATTAGAGAGCCGAGCCAAACCGTCGCGGCAATCTGCGGTCGTGAAAAACTCACTGATGCGGGATCTGCAGATCGAGATTTTCGTGCGAAACAAGCCCTGTTTTGCACACGTTGACTCGGGTGCAGATATCACTGTGGTACGAGCTAATGAAGTGTACACTGAAATTGTGGATCAGAGTAGTGGCACAATAAGGCTAACAGACGCTTTTGGGCATGGTGTTACCGCACGCCTGCTGCATGTGCCTCTCAGTCTCCCAACCTCGTCAAGGAGCGCTGCTGAGCCGGTGAAATTGCGATGCGCGGTTACTGATCAGTTGAATACCAGTGTTTCCGTCCTGCTTACTCCCGCAGACTACAAATGTCTTCGTCGTCACTGGCAAGAGCCAATGAATGATCTAAAGGTGGGTAATGAGAGGGAGATCAGCTGTGTAAGAGGGGAAGTTAGACCACAGCAGTATTCATTAATGAGGGAGCCAAAGCGTTTGTCTCGAGGTTTTAGCCCTAGTGCTAACGCCGTGCAGTGTGCAGTGGAGAGACTAGATGGCCAAGCAAGGGAGCCGCAAACGACTAAGTTCGCGTCACTTCTAGAGCAAGCGCAGTTCAAAAGTTGCAATTCCGCTGCGGAATGTAATGTGGACAGCAAGCGGCTGGGTCCATTTTGTGGAAATTATCGCGACGGGGAAGAGGAACGCGATGAGTCACTTGCCGATGCGCGGCGTCAGGGGAAAGAGGCATCGCATGTTAAAGGAAACGATGGACGGTTACTGCATCACAGGGAGAAATTACACGGGAAACAGCCCGCCAGTCTGTGGTGTCAGAGTCGCGCCGAGACGAAGTGTTAGCGATCAACAACTCTTGCGGTGGTAACTGCCCAGAAAAGAAAATGAGAAAGCACGTTAAAAATCGACTAGCGTTGGGTTTTGGTGGTAGAACGAGGGGGCTCTATGACTGGCGTATTCCCCTGTTCAAAAGGAAAGGTTGTCAGGATGAGACCGTCACGTGTGCGACTCAAGAGTGAAGTGAAGCCGTAAGTTCTTGGAAGGATATACCGTAACTACCGAATTTTTTCGAAGGTATTTTTGTTCTGCGTTGTCTTTCTTTAGTTTTGAAACAATTTTTTTTATGCAATCGCCGCGAGAGAAGTTATTTCAGTAACTAGTTTTGCGCTTTCTTTTTTTTTAGTGTTTAAGTATGGCATGTTATCGAAGAGTGGTGACATGATGAAAGGCTTTCAGTAAGAAGACGGCTATTAGTCGGTTACGGCGGTTCGAGAGTTTTGAACACGCTGCCATGAAACGTAGAGGAACAGGCAGCGTTTGATTGAGGTAGAGGGCTTGGCGTTGTTTTCTAAGTTGACGGCAACCAACCCCAGCAAAGCTTTTTATTTCGCCACGCACGCATCGAAAAGGGCAATTACAGGTTGCCTCTCTCAAACGATAGGTGAATGTGAACGATCAGTCACATCATTCAGTAAGAGGCCGAGCCAGTCGCAACAGGAGGTGTCTACAATTGAATGAAAGGCGAATGTGAAACAAAAATTGTTCGTAATTAGGGCGCTCTGAGAGAGGCTGCTGAGGCTCTTTCGAGTATCGGATGATCATTGAAATCAGTAATTACAACTGTTTAGTGGCAATAGGATGTTTTGTGTATTTCATATGGTTGAGTTTTTGTTGTTTTTATTGATGATATGTTGCCACTGAATAGTTTCTGTAAATAGAATTACTGTACAGGAGTTTGCATTGGATGTTTACGTGTTGTGCGTGATGTTAGTGGGTCGAAAACACTAATAGACCCGACGTGATGTGAAGTTTTTGTTTGTTGTACCAGGCAGCTTTTGTTGTGTTGTTGAGATGCGAGCCTGCCTCTAAGTGGTGGAACTGTTAGGTGCATTATATGTGTTATGTAGGAATAATTTTGCAGATAAAATAGGGTTGTACTTGTGAAGTTCATTATAAATTTTTGTCTTGGTGCGATCCATTCAGACTGAGGTATACCTATAGCGCTGGGTCCGTCGCTCTCTTTGAGTGTGTTATGCGGGGCCTGTAGGGAGCATGGAGTGGGTCTGCCATTTTGGGACAATGACCGTGTGGTGTTGTGAATTTAAAAGACAATATGCCGCTGGACTATGCACGGTGCGTGTGCCCTGTGCCAAGCTAATGCGAACTGACTATTGCTGTGGACTTCATCCTAAGTGCATTATCCAGTGTTGTGCATTACGAGAGTGCTTTCTGTCGGACGACTATTTGAGGGCATTATGTATATGTGTCACTGTGTCTATTTCGCAGAAGGACGCGAAAGTTCTCCTGTTAGATGGAAGTAATAATCGGTTCACGCATGTGTGTGCACTGAGAGTGAGTTTATTTTGAGCAATTTTTTGCTTGTTTTTGTATCGCGTTACTGGACAGCGAGTATCCGGTAACACTCTTGAGGGGGGAGGAGTTAGTATGACGCACCAATTACCAGCATGTGGGGTGCAGCGCAATTAATGCGGCTGATGTAGAGCGCGTAGCCAGTTCCCAACCCGTCAACTAAGGAAGCTGATCGGTTCCGCGAAGGCAAACGCGGAAGTCCCGAGCGCGGGAAAGAAAAGAGACTTCTTTGTTCTCACGGTTCCCAAGCAGAGCAGTCAAGGTCGCCCCCGTTCGGGATTAGAAGGGGAAAGCTTAGTCGGAAATGCGTCTGGCATGAGACAGGTCAGGCGCCACCGTCTGAGTTTAAGCCATTGTTGGCAGGCACGCGTGTCATTGAAAATGACACGGGGACGCGACCACTTTGCTGATCGAGACATAGTGACGGCAGGGAAACGACCATAATTTCCCCCGCTGTTGTTAGGATGTCGGGGCGCCTCGCTGTCGCATGTATACCTGGTAAGCGCACAGAGCGCAACGGTGTACTGACCGCTCTTAGGGACGCTTTTACGAAGCAACATTTAAGGAGAGAGCCGACGGGGCTCGAGCGTGAGAACGGCCATTGACGGAAGTCGGCCGACTGGGGCAGAACGGCCTGGCATGGGAGAGTGTCACACGCGGAGAACCTATCCCTTTGCATGTTGTATTTGGTAATGTGGTTTTTACCAATCCAGTGTCAATTATGAAAGTGTTTCTGCAATTGGTTGTGGCAATGCGAGCCCACACGTGTGATTGGTTTTTGTGAAGACTCTTTGTTTGACCAAGGGTTGAAAAGAGGATGTTTGAATGTGAAATGAGAGTGGAGGTTTGGGCTTGGACTCGGGCAGTCGCCTGAGGCTGCAATAAAGCGTCTCTTCACCGGACTACGGCTCTTCCTTCGTGCTGCCACCGTGCACTCGAGTCATCGAGGGGACCCATTCCAAACCTCAAACATCTTCCCTCCTTAGCTAGTGTTGAAGCTAGTCGAGAACCAAGAAATTAACTTGCGTCTTATGCCCAGAAAAAAGCAACACAAAGAACAGGATGACTGTCATTTGCATACTTTATTTTTTAAAAATAATGCCTCAGAACATGACTGTCTTCCAGCTTTAAATTTGGTATTCACACAAAATAGCACTTTATGTCTTTTTGTGAAGCACAAGAAACTGAAGCAGCATCTGCTTTACGGAAAACACTAATGTTAATCTGATTACATGTGATGCATTGCAGAGATAGATGTTTGTGCGTAGCTGACCTCCAATTTTAGTTACTGACATGTTCTTTACTCCCTTGTAAGTCAATACCATGACACCACTATGTTGAATTTTTTTCTTAACAAGTAGCTTTAATTAACTGAACCTTTTCCTGCTCAGCAGCTGACTTCAACTTTTTCTTAATTTTTTTTAGCCACTTAGAAGAGGAATGAATAAAAATCACACAGCATTCCTTATTCATTCACTTACAAAGGCCCTGCAACATTTTTCTATGTAGCCATGGAATGGGTTCACTAAAAGAGCTTAATGTCTCACAAATCCCCGTCTCAAAATTTTGTTTAGAATCTGTACAGTACGAGCAGAGCTACAAAGCTTTGTTGCACACTGCAATTATATTCTCTCTTCTCTCACCCAGACAAAAGCGCTGAAAGCTAAGTTGGAGGGATGGCAAGGGCAAATAAAGTATGTTACGCACACCTTGCGATATCGAGCACTTTTTCTCGTTTTTTTTTTTCGAATACGCAGGCTTTTCAGTGTGATTGTGAATGCACACTTGGACAAGTTGTGGCCTGCCATGTCAGCTCCGGGAACGACCGAGGGCACGATGCTCAAATCTTTCAATGACTGATACAATGGCTGTGACTAGCAATTTCTGAGCTTGTAGCATCATATGTAGAGAGCCAAGAGGAAACAATTTGTCGTAGACTTTGAGAATTTATTGTGAATTACAGCCAGGTGCTGCGCTATATATTTGGTCCGCGCATTTTTGGGAGCCTCGACTGCCGATTGGCAGCGTTTCCTGACCATGCTCACAAAAGTGTTGCTGGGCCCCTTTGAAATGGCTCAAAGGTGAAAGCCACCATTTTCTTTTTTTCTTTTCAGTCTATGCACTGATCCTGTCCTGGCACCCTTCGAAAGCTTTCTGCACCTAACGTGGTTTTTGCACTGCCTCCATGATCGGAGGTGCCTCGCTTCGATTTACATTGCCTCCGTCATCGGATCACCTTTGACCAATGTATAGTGCCATTCAATGATCTCATGATGTGATGCTACGTCAGGGTTACAGTGACATCATTAAGATGTCACAAACTTTTGGGATCTGTGACGCTCCTTGGTGGATGTCGTGACGTGATGACGACTTTTCACATCATACCTCCCTAACGCCGCGGGGTGCCGACGGTCGAATTTTGTGTTTAAAGAGACACCTAAGGCTTTTGTTTAAAAATTAAAGGCCCTGATATCACGCTCTTGGAGACCAAAGTGCAGCCACCTTTGTGAGCTATCGTCCTTTGCGTCTCCAAGAGGCTCGCCAGAACATGTGGGCACAACCTGTGAACTCGCACTGTGATAAAGCAGTGAGTGAATACTGCCGGTAAAAGTCGCAATAAAGCCTATCAAATTCACAAGTGAACCTAGATCTAACGATTTTCAGTTACAACAACATAAGTCAGCAAGAGGATGACCAATTGAGCAATATTGTTGCCAATTACGTTGCAAGTGAGCAAAGTGTTGCCAAGTGTTACAAATATACATTTATAACGAATTTTTGCATATAACAAAGCTATTTTCTGTGTCAGACGACACTTCATGAATGGGGTATTACAGTAAATGCTTTTGTAATAGAGACATGTGCCCGCGCTCTTCCATGGCTTGTTTAAGATGATAAATTTTACGCCAGCTTGCACACAGGGCCGAAGTGCGGCATCACAGATTACGATAATCATCACCAGCAAGGAGCACGGCTCGCCCGGCTTATGATGCTTGCGCTACGAGCAAACTTGCATTTGTCTGATTCCGTGCTGACATGGAATAGAGGACATGCCACAGATGCTCCCTTGATTGAGTGTCATGTATTATAGCACAAAGTGCGCTTTTCTTACGGCCTCACAATGTAATGCTACATTTTAAATGGTTCGAAAATCATAGCAATTTTCGCTAGACATGTGACAGGCCTCTCACCAGATGAAACCATGGCAACGGGAACAGAAGCTGGGCTGCCGTAGAAGCGTGGCGACAAACTTGTGGCCGTTGACCTCGTGCACCTTCTCCTTTGTAGCGCCCTGGCATTGGATGAGCGCTTGCCGCTCCCTTGACTCGTGCTGGTACTCCTCGGCCCCATTTTCTCCTGCGAGTTGTTGTTTATCCATGCACTATGAGCACAGGCACATAAATAGCGACTGAAAATGTAGAAGGCACTCCTATAACATGACGGGGAACCTCCTCCCTGTCACAGATTACAGCAGACCCTCTCTATGCCGATGTCCTATCTGACATGGAAATAGCTTCCGTATAAGCGAAAAAGCGTGATTAACACATTAACACCCTTCCTTATGCATAGTCTGCACAATACATTTCAGAAAATTGGAGCTAATATAACTAAAAAAAAAATGCCAATCACGGTCTGCAAAGGTGACTTCACAGCAGTGCTTTACAGCTTACGCAAGAATGCTAGCTTTGCAGCAACACTTCCTTTTTTAATTACACGAATCGTTGTCAAGGGTACGAGTTATACGCAACAAAATACAGTATTTGCTAGACTGTGGAAATGGTGACACCATTTTCATTTACCTCAAAATAACCGAAAATCAGAAGCATTCATATTAGGCATACCGAGGTCTGCCTGTACTAAAAAAAAGTCAGATATGGTAAAACAGTACAAAATCATGTTACCGTGCCAAGTGTGCACAGAAAGTAACAGTGAAAAATGAACACATTATCGAGTAACAACAAATACAAGAATAAAGGAAGTTGGTGCATTGGTCCTCAACTAAATGTATAATTTTGGTGAGACCATAATATGCTAATATTTCACCGTGTGTTGAGTCATGTAGCTGTGACAGGTGCATCGCAAGTGGGTCATTGATTTATCTGTCCCATCTCACATAAGGTAAAACATGACAGATATACGTGCTGTCCATACTATTTCGGGTCAAAATTCGTTGATTGCATCACCAGTGATTAATATGTGAGTGCACAACAGTAGAGAAAATCATATATATCACAATGATACTGCACGCAATGATAAACAGGCTCATAATAAGTGAGCTGAAAGTTCGGCAAGTATTTTAACGCAGCAGAATGCTAAGTGGACAAAGCACGAAACGTGACAGTGATAATATGACAAGGCCATCTAACAAGGCCAAGCACCGATAATAATTAAGGAAAATCGTGCTACCGTATATACTCGTGTAAGGGCCGCACTTTTTTTTCGAAAATTTTGCTAGGTGCGGCCCTTACACGAATCAGGCCGATTTAGTACAGGCAGTACAGGCCAAAGGTCTGTACTGTTTATGCAACAGTAGCAGAGTGCAAGAGTCACAAATGACATGCCAGAAATGTTTTTATTCGGATTCCATTTCGCTGTCCTCGTTCTCGGAGGAGCTCGCCTCGGCGTCCGCGTCTTCCCAGAGACGGTCATCTTCGGTGCCGTTCATGGAGTTCGAAATTCCCGTTACCTTGAAGCTTTTAGCAACTACTTCTACTGACATGGCACGCCACGCATTCAAAATCCATTCACACACCTGTTGGAGCGACGCCCGCTTCAGCCGTCCTGTAGGGGTCTTCTCGTGGACGCCTCCAGCCATCCATTCAGAGTAACATCGGCGAAATTCCACTTTGAATGGTCTGTTGACGCATACGTCGAGCGGCTGCAGCACACTCGTCAGGCCACCGGGAATGACGGCCAAGTCCGTACGAGTTGCGGCAACTCGGTTCTTGACGCGGTCGGTCAAGTGGCCCCTAAAGCTGTCCAAAACAAGGAGGGCTTTCCGTTGTAACAGCCCTCCAGGTCTGTTTGCCCAGACGGTCTTAATCCAGTCAACGACCAGTTCCTCGGACATCCAGCCCTTCTCTTGCGCACGTACGACGATTCCCTGAGGGAACTTCTCTTTTGGGAGAGTCTTCCTTTTAAATACGACGTACGGCGGAAGCCTCCTGCCGTCTGCCGTGATGCACAACATCACAGTGCACCTTTGGCGTTCTGCACCAGTCGTGCGCACAGACACACTTTTCGCACCTTTTAAATCCACTGTGGTGCTTTCCGGTGCATCGAACCACACAGGTGTCTGGTCCGCATTCCCAATTTGGGACAGGTCGTATTCATGCTCCCTCCTGCGAGCATTCACGAAGCGATGAAACTTAATGACGTGGTCTTCGTACTCGCGCGGCAGTTTTTGGCAAATCGTCGTTCGGCGCCGAATAGAAAGCTGGTTACGGTTCATAAACCGCGTAGCCCAGCCCCGACTTGCCTTGAATTGTGCCGGGGGTATTTCCATGTGGCGAGCGATGCTGAGGGCTTTGACGCGTATCATGTCAGTCGATACGGCGTAGCCGTCCCTTCGTGTGTCGACGACGTAGTTGACGAGCTCGCTTTCGAGTTGCGGGTACTTGCACTTTTTCCCGCGAAACGCCTTTCGGCTCCTGTTAGTAGCGGCGAGGGCATCTTTCTGATTCATCCAGTAACGCACGCGCTTCTCATCGACGTCGTACTTTCGTCCAGCTTCCCGCTTCCCGTGCTCCTCGGCATAGTCAATCACTTGCAGCTTAAATGCTGCAGTGAATGATCTCAGATGCCGGCCCATCGTCCGTCACGTGCGCTGGCTTCTGCAGGGTTCACTACAACCAACAAAGTGACACCGACGACACCGATCTGAAGTCGCGCTGCCAACGTATCGACACGATGCTAGGAACGATGCCAACAAAGAGGCCGCACAAGGCAAATATGGCGGCGCGCTGTCAACAGCGTGGTCGGCGCGTCGGCGGAAGTAGAATAAAAGCGGAAAAGCGTGCAGCGCCATCTGGCTGTAAATGAACTAACTACACTTTTCTGGCGGGACATTTTGAACTTTTGTTTTTTTTTTTTTTTTTCGAAATATCCGCTTTCAAAGTTGGGGTGCGGCCCTTACACGAGGGCGGCCCTTACACGAGTATATACGGTATGACAAAGGCAAACTTCCCAATAAATAGCATCCCAGGAGAGATTGTAGATTGCTGAGGGAATTGCGAAGACAGTGGCTTAAATGTCTGTGTTATGTGTCATTCGAAGATTGAATCAGCATTACATCCGTACCACTTGAGGTTAACATGAATAGTAGCCACACCTTCACTACCTCTGCACTACTGCTAGACGACAACACAATCAAGCAGTAAGTAAAAAAATGGTTCCTTGTTATCCTGTGTGCAACAAATGAGGGCAGTAAGCGATAAGAAGCGCGGTTACGGTAATAGAGAAAGCCTTTCCATGAGTATTCTTTACCGAAAAAAATCTCTTCAAAATATCTATCAGTCATCTTACGTGATGCTAATATTTACCTCCAAAATTTATCGCAGTGGTTAAGTGCAAATCAGCTACTTTTAAATACACAAAAAACTAAGTATGTTATCTTTTCTTCTATAAATAAACCGGTCCAACGTCAAAATGCCATATTATTTGAATCGAAAGTGTTACAACAAGTTTAAGAATGCAAGTTTCTTGGTGTCTATTTCCATGAATCCTTTCGGTAGACGTATCATAGCTACATATTGACTATTAAAGACATATATGATCAACTCCTAGCCAAAAGAACCTTCCTGAACTTGAAATCAGACACAGAGATATTTTTATCATTACACACTAACGCTGATCCGCATTATAGTCTCAGATGCACTGCATTTTAAAAAATTCAGACTATGACAGGATACGGCATACAACTGCTCCAATGGCAGATACCAGCTCTTTTAAATATGTACCCTTTTATACTTGATGTGATGCACAGCTGCTCTTCTTTGCTAGCCTTTCGGAAAAAAGTTAAACAGTTTCTATTCGAGCAATAATGTCAATAATGCCATGTTCTTCTGTCTGCTCTTTTGTAGCTCTATTAGAGTGTGCGAGTGTGTTTTTGTGTTTTTGTAAAAGTGCTTTTGTGTTGAATCTCTGTAAAAAAGCTATTTTTTTGGTGTGTAACAGGAGTTATTTTATTACACATAATTATGCTTATCAAGTTTGACTACAGGTTCCAGAAATGAATAAAAACTGTGTATGGTTTGCCTGATATTGTTGTATAGTTGAACATAGAATTGTATAAGGTTTTGAATTACAGTTTCTAAGCTATTTGCTTTTTGTATTAAACTGCTGCTTGTGAGATTGTGCTGCCTGGTGCTAGGGGCCTAGTCAGGCGACTTTGAATGTTGCCTTTTGCCATAGCCCCAGGGCAACCTCTTTTGTTACCAAAAATATATATAAACAAAAAAGCAATACAAACTTATATCTTGGTGTGATCACTTAACAGGGTAATGTGATCGCTTAATGGTGTAATTACAGTGGTGTAATACTTAGCTATACTAAGTATATTACACTACAGCCCCAACCAAACTACTCCAGTCAACGCACCAGGCCTACGAACAGTGTTGCAGCAGTGGACCAACCCCACATGTGTCACACAGGTCACATTTTAGCCAAAACGATCCACATCTAGCCATCTTGCCTGGCAGGCACACAAGTGTGGTTGAAAATATTTCATGATATATCATCTCCTCTATAGCGGCATTAAGTAATTCCAATACGTATTGCATCCTCTACATGACAATTAATCCACAACTCTTTACCGATTCTTATTTCTTTAACTGACGAAAGCTTGGCACAAATGCAATGAAGTAGAAATGACTTTATAATCTATTTCTTTGTGAAGAACGCGAGCTCAGACATACGGTGCAGTAGACTCCAAATTAAAGGATGTGCAAATATTATTTTTAAAATGAGCACCTGAAACACAATGGATGCCAAACAATATAGTTTATGTGGCCATAGCCACAACAATGATTGCGACATAGCTGTATTTGGGCCAAGCTAAATAAGAAAAAGGCCAATGAGATACGATGATGGGACCAATCTTTTCCTAATGACCACCTTAAGCAGATGTGTTAACCTGTCAGCACTGATTAACCAAATTTACTGACAATTAGATACCAATGTGCTAACTTTCTTGCACGTTTCTTTGGGCTTGCATGTCAAATCATGCATCCAAATCATGCATCGCAATAAAAAATTATGGCTTCAATAGCAGGATTAATTGCGTAACGAGGCCAGTTAGAGGGATTTGTCACAGGCTTTAGACATTTTCTTTTCTTGTCTCAATGAGCGCATTGGAAGCTAAGCAGGGAGGGATGACACGAGGGAACAAGGTAAGTCATGCTAGCATCAGAACATTGAGCACTTTCTTTTCCCTTTTTTTTCTTTGAATGCACAGGTCAAATTACTTTCAGGAAGTCATGCTAGCATCACAACATTGAGCACTCCCTTTTCCCTTTTTTTCTTTGAATGCACAGGTCAAGTTACTTTCATGGTAATCGTCAGTGGGCGTGTTGACACGTGGCGGCATCACGCAGTGGCCGCGGTAGCTACCTGGCTGAAGACACTCAAATCAGCCAGTGGCCTTGAGGTTTACGCGCAGTCATTTGGGTGTATGGCATCGTTTGTCGAAAGAAGAATAAATTATTTTTTAGTGGGCTTTGAGAATTAATGGCAAATTATGGGCCGCATGCTGCACTATCATGTTAGGCTCGCATGACCTGAAAAGCCTCAACAACTGACTAAACGTGTTTTCTGACCATGCTAAACAGAAGTTGCAGGGCCCGTTTAGTGCAGCCCTGTCATTGTCAATAGCACTTCTAAAGTCAAAAAATAAACTTTGGAAAGAACAATTTGCTAGGCTAGTTGGGCTAGAGCTAAACAACATAAAAGAATGGAGAAAGAAACAGGCAACTGTCCTAGTTTATAAGTGCCACCAGACCTTTAAGAAATGTTTTAATCAACTGTTCTTCAAGTTTAAGAGCAAGTGTTCTTGCATCCAAGCAAACTGTGCAGCACAAACATAGCAGTAAATAAGCAGCACAACAAAAAAATTATGTGCCAACACAATTCAGTAAATTGCTGAGTTTTGCAGACCTACCTCGTACTAGGCTGATGACAGCGTGCAGTTTTCCTTCAGGCTTGAGGTCAATCTGTTAATCGTGATAGGTTCTCCATTGCAAACACAAATGCAACCTATAGGCACTAATATAGACTACAGTGCATACAACGTCAACACTGCATGCTCAAGCAAAAGGAGTTAAATCAATTGTGCTGTTGTAACAGAGGACGAAGGGTAGGAGCACTCAACAAAGACTGAACAACAAGACTTTCTGGTTGGGTGCAGGTGACGAAGTGTCTTAGACATAGTAATGATATGTGTGTATGTATGCATGTATATGTATGTACCAAAACTAAAAAAGCAAGTGGGGGCCGGGTTTGATGCCCCCTAGATAGAATTAAATATTAATGGTGTTTTACTCTCTTTCTGAGCACCACTACAGAAATCCCATAGCTGTGTATGTACAGGCTGTTAGTATCATCCTATATTTTAACCCAACGGATGCGTGATTACCGTTTTCATCTATTTAGTTAGCAAGCCCTCCTGAACATTCCCACATGTGGCATTATACCCACACAGCTAGCTCTTTTCTCCTACTGTAGCTAGCATTAGCTTTTGCTCGAGAACCCCTCATAATGTTACCAGAACTATATATAGCTTTAGCTTCACGCCCTTTGCTTTGGAAGCTCATCCGGGATTACTATTCTACCGCAACTATAAAAAGTCAAATTGTGCGCGCCTAAAACCGAAACATAAAGTCGCGGTTGCTCTCTCTCGTCGTTTGGTGCGCCGCAGTCAATAGTGCCGCTGGGCGTATCCTTGCGGAATACATTGTTTGTTCATTTTTAAAATATATCAGTATGCGAGACACCACCAGCGCGCGCGACGCACCCGACTCGAGCAGTCATAAACATGCAATTGATTGTGACTGCAACTGCATAGCTGTTAGAACGCTTCGGTGACAAAGCGGATGAGAATGCACGCAAATAGGCATTGCGTGCGTGTTTCATGCGCGTTGATCCCGTCAAGAATTATTACAATCGCACTCACCCTAACGTCGCTATCGGGAACACTTGCTCTTCTCGCCGATTGGACGAGCTCGTCGAAGGTGACGCTGCCCTTAGCGACGGGCAAGTCGTCAGACGTTCGCGTCGTCGCCACGCGAAACACGGTAAACGCCAGGCTCCGCGCGCCGTGAACGTCGGCCACGAGACAATCGTTCCAAGCGGTCGTCCCCGGCGTCTTGGTGCTCGAACGGCTGATGAACATGCCGTCTACGCTGAGTGCGACGTAGTACAACGCCTCTTGGTCCCTCGTGTATACGACGTCCTCCGCCTGCAGGTCGATGGGGTCCATCAGATCGGTCACTTCGTACGTCTCCACTTTGACGTTGCCCGTAAACCGGCCCGTATCTGTGGTCCCCTTTTTCTTCGAGGCCGATCTCGTCGTCTCTGACGGTCTGTCATCCCCGACAGCCCTGAGGGCGCCGTAGTTCATCACTTTAGCCATGCCAGTGCGTAGCAAGTGCGACAGCGCGTGTCTCAGTCAGGTGTTTTGTTTTGGAGCGCCCCAGCAACAAGGCGAAACTAGCTTGGTCGGCGATGGCATGGACGAAGGAATGTTTCTCCTTTCTTCAACGTGTGTGAAGGCGAGGGTTGCGCCAGCATGCAACATAGCCTCATTGGCTCAATCGACGTCATGCAAACGAGGGAAAGAAACATTAGGAGAGAGAATATTGGTTCTCCCTACACGGCCAGGCATGGATGTACGCGACATAAACATCGCCTCCGCAATACAGGCGTGCAGACAACTTTCTTTGCTTGACGTCACAGACCGTTTGAATTTTTTTTTTCCTCCAACGCATCCGGATCTCAACAGAGGCAGCTTTAATTAGGCTTCGTTTCATAAAAGGCCTCATTCCCGAGTCCAACGCTTACATGCGATGAAGTAATGATAAAAAGAGCACACAACGCATGCAACAATGCCAATAAAGCACAACTCGTGACGCAGCCGCGCAACTTTTCTATAAGTTGTACCTCCTATCGACGTACTTGTATAAATGTAATGCCAACTGCTTTCTAACAGTGTTTTCAATATCTTTCGAATGAAAGAAAAAAAAAGTTGAAAAAAATAATGGCCTGCGCAGGGATCGAACCTACGACCTTCGCGTTATTAGCACGACGCTCTAACCGACTGAGCTAGCAGGCCAGACAACCACGGAGATATTGTTAAAGTATAAGAAGCTAAACTATCTTTCGTAAGTGATACAAAAATTTTATTGCTGTTTTTTTTTTTTTTGTTTACCAGTACCACATCACAGCATTCGGCCACTCTATTAGCCGCTTCTCTTCATTAAACGCACCAAACACGTCAAATCCACCTTTCTTGGTGGCGTTGCGGTCGCTACCGGAAGTTGTACCCGCTTTATCAACAACACATGTGCACAGAAAGACAAGCGCCAAACATCCTCGTTACGATAAATGTATCGAATAACGGTAGCGTGAAACCGTTCGGTGCGTTGTTCTGATTACGCACGAGGCTGCTTTCAGTCGTCCGTTCCTTGTCTTCATCTCCATCAACCGTGATGGCGGCCTTGAGGAGTTCGGACACGGGCTTCCAACAGCAGCAGGATGACCAGGCGGCCAAGGCCGGCGAGGACTTCGTCCGGCTGTTCTACGAGACCCTGGAGAAGCGGCGTCACCTTCTGGGTAACCTGTTCCTCGATACGGCCAACCTGGTCTGGAACGGGAACCCGCACGGCTCCAAGGAGGCCATCAGCAAGTTCTACGAGTCGCTACCTTCCTGCGAGACCGATCTGATCTGCGCCGACGCACAGCCCTTTCGAGCCGAGTTCGTCCAGGGCCAGACGACCATCCACGTCGTGGCCGCTGGACAGATAAAGTTTTCCGGCAAGCGCTGGGTGCCTTACACAGAGTCCTTCGTGCTCACCGCTCAGGGCAACGTCTGGAAGATCGTGGCGGACACGTTTCGGTTTCAAGAGCCCGCGCCGGTGTGACTGCGTGGAGCGCTGCGATGACTTTATCGCTGCATTGATATTCATTCTTGGCTCTGGTGGTTTGTCATCCTCTCCTGTGTTGTAAAAATGCACATTTTTATTATAAGTAAAGGCAAGCTTTTGAGCGGCGCTCAGCCGTGCTGCTGGATATCATGTCCCTGTGTCCTAATGCACGAAACTATAGTCGGGTACAACTTCAGAGGACAGGAGAGGCCCCGCCCAGATGACCGAAGCACAGCAGCCAATTTGTCCGCGACTAAAAAAAAGAGTCCCGTTCGATAAATTGTGACTGCTTCTAGAACATGTATTTGTCGGTATAAAGAGATTTGCGTATCGTGACGAGTGCTTTAGTAAAACTGTAATGATGGAAATGCTACAGCACATTGCACATGCTCATAAGCAACATCCCTCACACATCAAACTCGATTTCAAAAGTGGCACAGAAACACATTTCAATGCTTGCATATCTGAATTGAAACACTATTGTTCCTTGATTATTGTTGGTGAGCTCAAAATCATCATTCGGGCAGCTGGACACTCGGCTATCTTACACACGGCTGCCAACGATCGGTCGTTTGCGCGCTAAGCTTGAAACAACGAAGGCAGCATGTTCTCCGTCAGCATGGTCACCGGCTACCCGCTCTTGATGTCGCTTGAAGTGCGTGCCTATTGGTAGAGGCACATGTGCATCCGCCTTTGAGTGGAAAATGCCGCTTTCTTCTAAAGTTGTACCCAAGTATAGCCGGCGAAACTCCTGCTTGTGCATCCACTAATGCGTAAAATTGACGCGTTCGATGAAAAAATTCTGTTTGGTGTCGTAGAAGTCGGTTGCAAGACTTGGGCTGTATTTGCCCCGGCAGTTGAAAAGCATTGACTTCCCGTATGATTCCTGTGTAATCCGCTGTGTCTGTGCACACTGTTGATATCGGCATACATTTTAAGTAGGAGCCCCTTCCCCTTTTTTTCCCTGTAGAATGACGTGTGGGCCATTGAATGTTCCAACCCATTACAAAAGCTTCAGGCATAATTTTTGTGATCCACCACATCATCTACGAAGTGCATATAGACTATTTTAACTAAGACATATGGGCACCGCCATCTTGGGCTGTTTAGTTGATGTTCTCATGCTTTTATGTATTGAAATGTGGATTAATAAGGTGACAAAGCATCATATGCACCTCCTGAAACATTTTAATGTGTAGATGCCAACTGTAGCACTGTTCATATAGCTTTTATAGATGCAAAATGTAAATGTTAAGCCCAACCTGGTGGCACTGAAATCCTTTTGCAAAATGGACTGTAATGCTTTATAAGTGTGTGGCAGGTAACCTCGTTTTGCCGAAGAGTGACGAATAATATCATTGTGGGCACTTCCGCACTACACAAAAATTTTGATGACTTGCGGCATAGTGGGTACCAGCTTGGCTGCTTGTAGTAGTAGCTCCAAAAGTGTTGGAAAATAGCTCTAGAAAGTCCAGCTTTCGGTAAGACTTTGATTATTGATATGTAGGGTTTAACGTCTATAAACCACCATATGATTATGAGAAACGTCGTAGTGAAGGGTTCTGGTAATTTTTACTACCTGGGGTTTTTTAACGTGCACCCAAACATGAGCAGTGTACGCGTGATTATAGAAGATGAAAAGCCGCTTGGAAAAAACTTCTTCTTAATCAGAGCCCAACAAACTGGAAGGACTATCAATTCCTTGCTGGCGTATTTAGGCGTACAGTGAACCGCGCGAAAGAAGAATACGACAGTAGATATTTTGATTATCTTTCTAAATCTAAAAATAAGCGGGCTTTGTTCACTTATCTTCGGACAAGAAAGGTACTGCCAGTACCTTTAACGTTACAGTCATGTATCTTGACGCCGGAAGAAATGAACACCTCTCTAGAAGACATAGTGCAAGGTTTAGAACGCCGCTTCACTGCTAATTTTTTGGCTATTCAGCCGGTTCTGGTAACTTGCATGAATTTCCAGAAGTTTCTTTAGCTGAATTGAGTCAGACAGTATTATGCTTACCGAGGACGGCTCCCGGACCAGATGGGATTACGAACTTTATGTTGAAATGTTTACTCCAGGAATCACCTAACCTTTTGCTAGAACTAGTGAATTATTCGTTAGGGAACGCATGGATACCTCCAGAATGGAAACTTGACAAAATTGTATTGTTGCTAAAAAAAGAAAATGATGCATACACGTTGGATAACATAAGGCGGATCGCACTGACATCAAACTTAGTGAAATTGGTTGAGAGAATCATCAATATACGAATTAATGAACTTATTACCAAGAGGTCAATTCTTAGTCCTTGTCAAATTGGGTTCAGGGCTGGTTGTTCAATTTGGGATGCCCACGTTGATTTAGAGAGTCGGCTTCAATTAGCTCGGCTACATAAAAAATATGCAGCTTTAGTTACTTTAGACATCGCTAAAGCATATGATACCGTGGAGCACTGTATTTTGATAGATCGATTAGAATACCTTGATTTTTCATCATACATAGTAGCGTGGGTTCACAATTTTCTTGCAGACAGGAAATTTTATTGTTTTAAAGATGGGTTTTCATCATCTACTCATACCCAAACGAGGGGAGTACCGCAAGGCTCGGTGCTTTACCCGGTGCTATTTAATTTACTAACGAGCACCATTCCACGTAAACAGGATATAACAACTTATGTTTATGCAGATGATATCGCATTTTTTGCGATGGCAGATAACATTCAGACCTTATATGAACGGCTGCAGATTTACCTTAATATATTGGAAAGCTGGCTCGATGGCAACAGCTTTTTACTTAATCCGAGTAAATGTGCCCTCCTTGTTTTCCTGCTGCAATACCCTGTGAACATCTCTTTGTCTTACCATCATGAGAATATACCACAGGTGGAATCTGTTAAATACCTTGGTGTAATTTATCACACATCGCTTAACTGGCGACCTCATATCGAATATATCGCTGGAAAAGGTGTGCAGGCCATTGGCATATTACGTAGGCTAAGCAATTACCGTATAGGTATGAGAAGAAACACATTGGTAATGATATATCGCATGTACGTTCGTCCCATTTTGGAATTTGGTTGTGTACTTTTCTCTGGAGTTCCAGCTTACAAGTTGCGGCCTCTAATTCTTCTGGAAAGAGAAGCTTTGTGCTTATGCCTTGACCTTCCCAAAACAGTTGCCAACAATGTGTTGTATCTCGAACTGAGGGTCCCTCCGCTTTCTTGTAGAATTCGCCTTCTGACTGTTCAGACATTCTTAAGAATTTATGAATCACCATTACGACATTCAGGAACGGCCTTTATTTCCACCCCGGAATCATTTTTTGCTGCTAGATGGCCGCGATTTCACACGCCACAAATTATATTTGTGCAAAATTTACTGGAGCCTCTAAACGTACGTATATGCGACATCATGCCGAGTCGTGATAATTTAGTCCCGGTGGAAATTCGATTCGACGACATTTTTCCTAATAATGCCAAATTACTTCCCCATAATATTTTGGATGGTTTACTACAAGATCACCTGCGCCGCATTACAACGAACGTTATTATTGCTACAGACGCATCGCAATACGACGAAAAGTCAGGGGTTGGTATTTTCAGTCCGATTTTAAATTGGATTTATTCCCTTCGACTACCCGATTTTATACCTGTTTTTGTGGCTGAGTTTCTGGCAGTAGTGCTCGCCTTATGCAAGTTAGATACGGCAATTACATCAGCTGTCATAATAACAGATTCCCTATCTCTTCGTGCGGCACTTTCTGTTGGTGCTGATAATCACGTAACAAAGGCGTTCCGTGCACTAGTACCTGCGCATTTGAGAAAAGTACGATTAGTTTGGGTGCCTGGACATAAAGGTTTGTTTCTAAATTAAATAGCCGATTCCTTAGCTAAGTCGTCAATCAGCCAACTAATTCTACCACTCTGTCCATCATCCGCTTATGTGAGTGCTGCTCGATTCCGCAGACGTACGCTTATGCAAGTCTTTAAAGGTTCAGCACTAACAAACTCTACAGAATATCGCCATTTATTATATCCCTGGCGAAGAGACTTTTGCCGCACTCGAAAACAAGAAGTAGCTATCACAAGGCTGCGTTGCCGAGTACCAAATCTAAATTTCTATAAACACAGGTCTGCTCAGGTACCTTCGCCACTGTGTGCATTCTGTGATGAACTGGAAACAATAGACCATTTCTTTTTGACCTGCAGGCGGTTTAACACATTACGAAAAACCCTATTAGAAATACCTTTACGTGGTATTGGTATGGACTTATCTCTGCCTGTCATTTTGTCTTTTGGAGCTTCCATTTCTGGTTTCTCTAATGCGATAGTATGCGCGGCAGTCTGGGACTATATTGATGAAACTAATAGGTTGACTAATTAACCAGTTTCATTATCCTAACAGGTTCACATAATTATATACGTATAAAATCTGACTATTGCTCTATTCTGAGAATAAGTTCGTTTATGTAAATATTTGTATGCATTACATTTAGCACCACACTTTCCTAGACATTCGGTAATCTTTCTGTTAAACCTCCATCATTCCAAATATGAACAGTAAATGTTGAAGCCACTCGATTCTTGGCCGATCCCCCACAGTGGGTATGCGCCACTAACAATAGGAAAACAACAACAACAACAACCTGGGTCTACAGCATTTTTGCCTCCACCGATAATGCAGCCGGGACTTAATCCCGCGACCTGCAGGCCAGCAGCCGAATACCTTAACCACTAGACCACTGCGGCGGGGCAGCACTGCAAAATAAAATGAGAACTTTTCCCAGTAAAGGTACTATTCAAAAACATAGTTAAACCCTCTGGCTCCCTCGCTAGGACTGTGCTGCATGTTCTGTGCACGCCTGGTGTTTTTTAGGGGCGACACTCCTAAAGCTAAGGGTCTGTACATGCTTGTCTCTCTTGGTACGTAATCGCCTAGTTCTCCGACTCACTCAGCAGGTGCGGACAGACTGACGTACAGACAGATGGAGGATTCATGGTTTACCGATAAAACCCACCAAGGCTTCACCCCACTCATCATCATTAACTCCGTGGATATGCTGTGATTTTTTTGCATCTACCACTTGCGCCAAATCTTGCAGCGGCACATTGGAATAATTGGTCACGAGCCCAGAAGAAATGTAAGC